TAGCTTCAAAATTTTCAAATTTTCAATTGTCCGCACCCTCTTCAAGATAATGGTGGTACTATATTCTCGTGAAATTTTAGGTTCCCAATCCTAGATGTCTACCAAAGAATTAATAGGAAAAGGATGTCATTAATTTCCATGTGTGCGAATTCATATGTGAATGTTAAATTTCATAGTGAAAATAAGGTTCTATATCAACAAAAATAATCCCAAATGTGTTTCACAACATTGAAGTTTTGAAGGCACAACATTGAAGTTTTGAAGGCAGTGAATCTTATCCTATATATGAATGCATCTTATCCTTTGTATGGGTTGAGCATTTTCGGCATGTGTTTGAATAGGATTTTCCTTGAAGACATTAGTGAAAATAACATAGTTATACAAAAACTTGATGAAGAAGTTGATATTCTCTTAAAGCTAAGTTTGTATATCCAACTTTATCAATGTTGTTTATTCAATTTGTAATGAAGTTTATATTTGTAAATTTGAATTAATGAAATGAAGTATTAAATAGTTTTTATTTAAAAAAAATTACAAACTTGATTTATGCATAAAGAACTTTTAATTTAATGGTTGAATTGTTAAAATTGTTGAATCCTGCTTGGAGATAATTTTTCTTTTACAATGACAAACTCTTAGTTTCAAGTTTTAATGTTGAAGAGTTCTTGTGTGGATTGCTAACAAATTTGTTCAAGTGTTTCAAAACTACTATGTTTAGTACTCATAAGTTTAACAAAGTACTACAATCCATAAGCTTCGATAGATAGCATTCAATCTACTTGAGTTGTCTTGTAAATCCAAGGTCTTAGTTTTTTAAGGAGCACAAAATGTCTACTTATCAAGAAAGTTTAAGCTGAAAATTTCCTCTCAAGGAAAATGCCTTCAAGACTTGGCTTAAGAGACTAGTTCTTTGAACCATTCACTATAAAGTTTCAATTAAAACTTAACTTCTCAGAAGATTGGTACTAAACTAAATTCTCTGCATAGAAGGCTTAAAGAGAAAGTTTACTTAGAATATAGGTTAAATACCTCTTTTCGTCCTTGATAATAATTTTTTGTTTTAATTTAGTCCCACTTTAATTTTAGGTCTCAATTTGGTCCCCAATAATTTAAATCATTGCAATTTGGGACTTCCGTCTAAATGATTTAAACGAAGTTAACTGGTGGCCACGTGGATGCCACGTATATGCCACGTAGGTGGATCCCAAAATACTGGAAGACACTTGGAGCCAGAACGGCCCGTTTTGGTTACACAAATAGTGTGTAAAATTTGTACCTGGAACGGGCCGTTCCAGATGCAAATTTAACACACTAACAGTGTAACCAGAACGGGCCGTTCTGGTTCCAAAATTTCGTAAAAAAAAAACACGGTACAAAGCATTTCAAACACTAGATTTGGTAATATTGTTAATGGAGATTGGTAACTTCAATTGCTAAACATTTGGGCTATACAATGTATTATTAAGGATGATACAGTGTATCACTAAGGACAATGGTAACATGTTTTATTTCATTATTAGTCAAACTAGAGTGAAATAATTTCTTTGAACTTTTTTAATATATGTTATATTCTGAATTTTTATTTTCAGTTTCTGAACCATGTTTTTGTCTTTGAATTTATGATATATTATGAATTTTTATTTTCAAATTTTGAATCACATTGCGGCATTTTAGGATCAAGATTTTGAACTGGATAAATTCAAATCAAAGAAAGATTTTGGAAGGTCTTATCTTATTTGAATTTTTTTAAGTTTTATTCATAAATAAATATTAATTTATTGTATTTTTATTTATTATATTTTTATTAATATAGATATAATTTTAAAAAAATAGAACAAAAGGATGAAGTTGGCGTTCTGGAACGGGCCGTTCTGAATTCAGAACGGCCCATTCTAAGAGCAGAACGACTCGTTCTGGTTTCAGAACGACCCGTTCTACTGCAATCATGTTGTGTTAAATTTGCATTTAGAACGACCCGTTCCATTTGCAAAATTAACACATAACATGTGCATGCAGAATGGACCGTTCTGGTTTTAGAATGGCCCGTTCTGGTTCCAGGTGTATTCATGTCATTTGGCATCCACCTATGCATCTACGTGGCATCCACCTAGCCTCTACGTCAGCAGGAGTTAACCCCGTTTAAATCATTTGAACGAAAGTCCCAAATTGCAATGATTTAAGTTATTGGGGACCAAATTGAGACCTAAAATTAAAGTAGGACTAAATTGAAATAAAAAATTATTATCAGGGATGAAAAGAGGTATTTAACCTAAAATATAACAACTTATGAAGAAAAAACTGACAGGACCAGCAAAGGAAAGTACAGTTGATGTTATCACTACTTAAAACTAAGCTAGCATTAATGAATTTATTTTTCAAGGCTATAAAAGGAAGACCAAGGCTACATTTTTTAAGAGAGCAAGATAAAAGAGAGTAATCAAAATACAAGTTATCAAATCTATAATCATTGCTTCACACTCTATTTTTCAGAAAACTCCACTTCTACATTTGCATTAATCTTGTAATAGATAAACAAAGTGTAATCTTCCTTAGCAAAAGCTCCAGCTAGGATACACAAACCTATTTTTATAAACACCCTATCCTACCTAAACTTGAGTTGCAAAGGCATAGGAAGGAAAGAAATAAATCACAATAAGTGGTTGTGTAATCTCATAGCAAGTGGTTGTGAAGTTAGGTGTCTCAACATGTTGTTGAGGGTGGAATCTCAATAGGTAACTAAGTAAGAAAAACTAACAACATGTGATTGTGTAGAGGAGTGATTGTATCAGTAGGTGGTCGAAGTTGTAATTTGAACAACAATTGGTTGTGATAGTAGAAAATCTCACAAGGTTACTTGCTTCAATTACTTTATTGCATCTTACATATATTGTTACATATTTTTTTGTGCAAACGGACTTGCTAAGAAACTAGTTTCATAAAGCAACTTAAGTTTGAACACTAAATAAATTACCTTTTGAATATATATTTTCATAAAGAACTAATTTTTGAATAACATAACAATTCAACCTTCCTTCTTGTTGCTTAACATCCATTTCAAAAAAAAAAAATTGTGTAAAACCTGAGTTACTGAGTAAAGTGAGTTTAGGTAGACTTACACTTAGAGTAAGTAGATCTTTCATATATATATATATATATATATATATATATATAAATATTAAGGAAATTAAAACAAAAATATGTGAAAGTTTTGAAACATTAAAACGTTTTTGAGGTGGTAAAATAATCACATGATCATATACACAAGCTAATTGGAACCAAACTTTGAATAAAAGAAAACATATAACAATCAAATAAACTTGTGACACTTCAAAGGTCATACAAATGTTTCAAAAACCAAGATAATTAGAATGTAAAATGACATATAATAAATCCAACTATAACTAAAATGGAATTCCATACTATGATGTTATGTCTTATTAGAATAAGGTATCCAAAACATCAAACTAAACTCTAAGTTTCACTTATAACACCAACACATAACTAATCCTCATCTATAAGTGACATTTCGTCAAAACCATTGTTTTAAAACCACTTTGGCTAGTTTATGAACGTAAGAAAACAAAGGTTTGATGTGAACAATAAGAAGTTATATGGTTTGTGCTCGACACAGTAAGGGGTTGATGAATGTGACTACTCAAATCATCTATCTCTTTTTGGCTTCTCGTCTCACTTCAGACCTATGCTCGTCTATTCACATCCATTAGGGGAGTTACAAAACTTGACGTACAGACTTTGACTCTAAAATCAAACCAAAAATCATGTGAAATAATGCAAGGAAGATGTCACCGTAGAAAGGAAGGAGCAAGCACGTGGAAGGGAAACATGGTTTTGTGATTGGAATTGGGAAGTAAAAGTAAGTTATGTGATTTTTTAATTGATGTGACAAAATATTATTGGTGAGACAAAAAGTGAGTTAAGGAGTGTGAGACAAATGATTTTAATTTGACTTGGATAATGATGGATAACCTCTAAGAGAAAAAAAAGAGTCATATTTTCGTATAAGGATAAAGAGATCAGAAACACTTTATATCACGAAGCAATTACATAGCACATATCTAATAACATCATCCACTTTTCAACAAATGCATGTGTCTCTCTTTGGTGGCTAATATCAAATTTGTCTCTTGGAGTTGGCTTAAAGCCAAGAAAAGGAGTTTAAATGTAGTTTTTTCTTATTGGGAATCCAATCCCTTGTTATGCATCTATAGGCTTAGAATCTCACCCAAGATTTTTTTTTAAGACAACTAAGTCTTTTAATTTTAGGACCATCTACCTACTATCGTTAGGGTGGCTTGTTTTTGTAGTGGAGGACTATCACCTAATGGTTAGACTTTGTGTTTGCATGTTTTTGAGGTGTTGGTTTGCAAAGATTTTTTCCTTATAGAAATCGTATCTTGGCATATGCATGTTTCTTTGTATATCCTAAGATGTCTAGTTCCTTAATATCCCAATGCCTTATGTCCTCTCTTGTACTTCTTTTAGCACTTATCGTGCTCCTTATATATATATATTTTTAGTTTTGAAATTCAAAGAAAATCTTATTTCAATTTCTTTACTTATAATTCCTTATTGAATTTGTTAAATGGATCCACCTATCATTATCAAATTTGTCATACAAAATTTATTTACTAATATATTTTTAATAAAAATATTACATTAAACTTGTAAATAATGCGTGATTATTGTTCTTGTTAATCACGTCATTAGTAATATAGAAGAACTAGAATAACTTTTTAAAATTAAAAAAATTAAAAGAAACTAATTTTAAATTTAAATACTAAAAATAAGTTGATCTCAATTTTAAAAGATTAAAGTTTTTTCTTTTTAATTTGTGCAATGGATATTGGGGACGGAAAAAACCCGGTTGTCTCGTGCGACGGAAGCTTCAAGATCAAAGAAAGAAGGAAAAAAGAAAAAGAAAAAGAAAAAAGAAAAAATCTTCAAATCATTAATTCATTTTCTTCGTTCTTGCTTTTTATATTTATTTTAAGTAAAGAAGCGAAGGAAAGCCAGAAGTGGATTAGATTCGAACCAACGAGCTAGCGCAGATCCATCTTCGTCCACTTCCCCCAAAAAATAAAAAATAAAAAATAAAAAAATAAAAAAAAATCCCGTTTCCCTAGAAATCCGTACATGGTCTGGTGTTGATCGTCATCGCGCGTGAGATGTACAACCCCGCGGCGGCGAGCAGGAGCGTCCTGGCGTCGCGCACGAGTTCGCGGTCGGTGACGGAGACGGTGAACGGCTCCCACAAGTTCGTGATCAAGGGCTACTCTCTGGCGAAGGGAATCGGCGTCGGAAAGCACATCGCCAGCGAGACTTTCACCGTCGGAGGCTACCAGTGGGCCATCTACTTCTACCCCGACGGCAAGAACCCCGAGGACAACTCCGCCTATGTCTCCGTCTTCATCGCGCTCGCTTCCGAGGGCACCGACGTTCGCGCGCTCTTCGAACTCACGCTGCTCGACCAGAGCGGCAACGGCAAGCACAAGGTCCATAGCCACTTCGATCGCTCGCTCGAGAGCGGCCCCTACACTCTCAAATACCGCGGCAGCATGTGGTTAGTGTTGCTTCTTCGATTGCTTTTTCATTTCTTGATTAGGTTTTTGCTTCGGTGACTGTTTTTTAGCGTTACGTGAGGTTTAGGTCAAAATTAAGTGCTCACGGTTTCGGCGGATGTTGAAATTGAGACTGTGCTAGTGCTTTGTTGGATGGATTTTACTTCCTGTGGCTGCGTGTGTCTGAATAAGAAGCTGTATGTTATGTTCACTCTTGATTGCTTCTCCTTAAAAAAAATGGTTAAATATGCTTTAGGTAGTTAATGATCTTGAAATTCTTATGAAAATGTAGTAGGTTTTTAGTCTTTACTCTTTAACAGAAATCCATGTTGGATGTAGTCCAGGTGAGGTGACTAAAACCATATCACTTTTGCTTAGATTTTAACACGCTAATGTCAACCTTTTGTCATTTTGTTGTGTGTTTTGGATGTCATCCTGATTCATTAGCTGTTTTATGTGGTGTACGTTATGGAGTGATGAATGATGAATTGGTTGTGATAGGGGGTATAAGCGGTTTTTCAAACGGGCTCAACTCGAGGCGTCGACTTTCCTCAAGGATGATTGCTTGAAGATAAACTGCACTGTTGGTGTGGTGGTGTCGTCCATTGATTGTTCTAAGTTAAACACGATAGAAGTTCCTGAGTCTGATATTGGGGCGCATTTCGGGATGCTGTTAGAGAATGAGGAGGGGTCGGATGTTACTTTCTCTGTAGGTGGAGAAAGGTTTCATGCGCATAAGCTTGTTTTGGCTGCCCGGTCAACTGCATTTGAAACCGAGTTTTTTAATGGGATGGAGGAAGATGATCGTGACATAGTTGTTACTGATATGGAACCTAAGGTTTTCAAGGTAGAATATAGATTCCTTAAAATTGTCTTATTTATTCCTATCTTTTTGCAGTTATTACATGCTAATTAATTCAGTTTCAGTGTGGCATATCATTGGCTTGGCCATCTAATGTTTCTTGTGTTCCATTGTTGAGCAGGCTTTGCTTCATTTTATTTATAGAGACTCTCTTATTGATGATGAAGAGCTCTTTACGTCACGATCGTCTTCGTCATTCTTGCCTTTGGTGTCTGAATCATTTGCAGCGAAGTTGTTAGCTGCTGCAGAAAAGTATGGTTTGCCAAGACTTAAACTGATGTGCGAGTCTGTACTTTGCAAAGACATATCTATAGATTCTGTTGCCTATATTCTGGCTCTTGCTGATCGTTATCAAGCTACAGAATTGAAGTCTGTCTGTCTGCAATTTTCTGCTGAAAACCTTGTTGGTGAGTTTTCCTGCTTATCCAAGTCTACATTTGAACTTATAGTCACAGCTACTTTTGAGCAAATAATATATTCTCATTAGTTTGGTCTCTGTAGTATTTTGTATAATATTCTTCAGTGATATTTTATTTGTTGTTTGACTAACCACTGTATCATACATACATTTTGCTTGTCTTTTTGTTTCTGGCTATCTACTTGGTTTCTACCCAAAAACTTGTCTGAAGGACCTCACTTATAATGAGGCTGGTGGCATGCATAAATGACTTAACTTTCTTAAAAATTTTCTTATATGTAAAAATTGATATATAACAGGAACAGGATAGAAACTGCATGCACTTCACAGAACAGAGTATCACACTTAACATGCTATATGTAAACGAACTCATTGTTTTGAATTCATTCTCACGCTAATGAAAATTTTCACCACTTGCAGACATGTTTGTATGGAAATAAGCTTTAATTCTCAGTATCATGAGCAGATATAGCAGCACCTTTTATCTTGAATCATGAATTCATGATTAAGTTTCTTTCATAAGGATTGTATTAGTGTTGTCAAATAGCATGACTATTGTGGCTCTATAATGATTATCTTGTAGTATTTTTGTTTTTGTTTATATTGGGTTTACTTGATTTTTAAATTAAATAGCCTAAGCTATCTTTTATTTTCCAATTCTATCTCTTTCATCTTTCCGTTTATTGACTCTTTCTGGTTTTTTAATCTTTTTTTTTTGTTTCCTTCTATTTCTTCTCAATTATAAGTTTTTATTTCTTGTCTTTTTTCCTTCTAAATTTTAAGTTTTGCTCTTTTTTTTTTTTTTTTTTTTTTAACTTTTCTAAATTTGAAGTATTTTTTTTATCCAGTTATTCTAGATTTAAGTTTTTTATTTTTATTTTTTTCGCTTCTAAATTCAGTTTTTTCTGCTCTTCTAAAAGTTTTTTTTTCTTCTAAGCTTATTTTTATATAATTGTTAGACATTATATTTAAGCTGCTATGCAGCTTTCATTATTGGCCCGCCATGCTATCTGCTATATTATATAGCAGATTTTTTTTAATTGATCGACAACTGATTGATTTTATTTTTTTTTAATTTAAAATTTTTATACTTCTGATAATTGAAGAAGTAGTATCCTTTTCTGGAGAAGTTCTTTTCATTTTGATTGATTGTATTATTCCCATATTATTTGAGCCTGATGAACAGGCATTTTGACCCATGGTAGCGAGAAAAGATCACAGAGGCACCAATAGTTAGTTTCTATCATCTGTCTTTCATTTTCTATTTCTTTTCTATGTTCTACCCTTGGAAGTTTCTGGAAAAGGCTTATCTATAGCTTTCTTCATTTCATTTTACTTCACCTCATACATTTTATTCTGAATTTAATTGATGGCTGCTCCGCTGCTCGGGTCTATGTTTGTTTGCTCTCTATTTACTAGTATTATGCACTTCTCAAGTTTGTGATTGTATGCATATCAATTTGTGTTCCCTAGATTTTTCGATCAAATATTGGCATCTCATCTTGTATTCAGTTCTGTTTGTCTTTTAGGATTTTCGTTTCTGTTAACAGCCTAAACATCATGTAACAATCAAGCCGATCTCAGATGTAGAACATTTGATTCTCATATCATTCTTTATTCTGTCTCTTGCAGCTGTGATGCAATCTGATGGATTCGAGTATCTCAAGGAAAATTGTCCATTGCTGCAATCAGAATTGCTAAAGACTGTGGCAGGATGCGAGGAGGAATTTAGTGGAGAAGGAAAGTGTAGAAGTGTGTGGGCCCAGTTTTCTGATGGTGGTGACACCAATGATAGGAGTGTAAGACAACAAACCTGGGAAAATGGAGTCGAAAGAAGTCAAAGCTTATGGGTTCACCTTTCTGATGGTGTTAACAACAATGATAGGAGTCCAGGGCAAGAAGCTTGAGAAGGTAAGCTACCATCATTTATCAGTTAAACTTAAATGGTAGATTAAATGCTACTGCAGGGACAAAATTAACCCATTATGTGGGCTGGCCGTCAAAGGGGTAGGGATCCAAAAACAATGTAAATGAAGAAGGCTGAGATACTGCCACCACTGTAACATGTGTTGTATTGTTTACTTTGATAATTTCTGAGATAAAATGGTAGCAATAAGAAATAACATTGATCATTGTATGGAAGTTTGTTTCATGAAGAACTGGTCTTGCTTTACTTGATGGTTGTATTTCATAATGAAATTTATTTTCTGGCTATAAAAAATTAAAGGACCAATTAGCAGTATTTTCTGGTCTGGTCTTGTTTCTTCAAAGTCCAATTCAATTAAAAAATGATGAAAACCATGAATCGTTGCATGCAGGGATTCCGTTGGGACAAGGAAACGGTCATTGGTACAAGACCAGCCTGCAGGGATTCCATTGCAAGCCGCATTTTTTCTTTTTCTTTTCGGGGGGAACTGGTTAAGAATAGCAGATTAATCTTGTAACCATAGTGATGTATCTTTCAACACCAATGGGTGCTAGCAGGTAGCAAGTTAACAAAATGACATGAAGGGACAAAACAGTATCTAGTTGAACATTGGTTGTATCTAGAACTTTTCTTAGGGTGGGAGGTTGTCCACCCTGGTTAGTGAACACAGGACATTTCATGCACGATTGATGTAGTTTTACACCGTGGGAATCTTCATCCTTGTGAATTGTGAAGCACCCTATCTCTCCCTCCTCTCTCTCTCTCTCTCTCCCTCCCTCCCTATATATATGTTGTGTCAAGAAACGGAAATTACTACCTCCATCCATTTAGATAGGGTTTTCTTAAATTTATTTGTTTCATTTTATAAGACTTCAAAAAGAGATTGTATTAATTTTTTTTACTTCTCAAGGGATTTAAGTATTGTGTAAATTTTTTAATAAATAAGCATCAAATGTTGTAAATTAATATTTTTTATAGAATTGAGAAAGATTAGTCACATTAATTAATTGGGTAGAAGGTGAAATGACGAGTTTCAATAGCTTTTAAGGTAATTTTGCAAACTTGGTAGAAATGGCTAAGAAAATTTAATGCCATCAATTAAATATTTTAATTCCTATGGGCCAGTTAAAATGGATTTTATACAAGGATGGAGGTAATATATAAATATAAACCACTATATCATTTATACAATTTTACATGTAATTCAACTTGTCTTTAATTTGTCAAAAAAAAAAAAAAAAGTTTGGTTAAGTTAGACTATTTGAAAACTAGGTTGGAAATCATAACAACTACCAACCTACCATGGTAATGCGGTTTAGGTTGGCTTGTCAAATTTTAATAAAATAATTTTTTTTGATGATTAATAAATAAATAAATAAAATAAATTTAAACATATTATAGGGATATTAAACAATTGATTTATATATAAGTTATACAAATCGTAGTAAAGTTTATGCGCTTCATTTCAGTCCAGCTTAAAGTAGTTTGTGTTGTGTGCACAGTTTTAAAAATCGGACAGGTCATCGAACCGGTTAAGGTATTGGGTCAGTGGGTCAAAAGTTGAACCGGTGGGTCACTGGTTGAACCGCATGACTCGATTTTTATTTATTTTTATTAAAAAATATTCATATTAAATATATTTATACTTATAAATTTTAATAAATTCATATCTTATTTTAAATTTAAATTTTTCTATCTTATTTAAAATATTTTTATTTTTATTTTGTAAAAAAATACATAAAAAATTACATGTTAAACGGTATATTAATACAAATTAAAAATATAAATAATATATACATATATAATATGCTTGCAATTAATATCACAAAATAATATATGTAATATTTACATAGATATTGAATTATTAAATATATAATTTAAAATTAATAATATACTATAAAAGTTATTTAAGTTGTATATATTGCAAACAAATATATTAGAACAAGTAGTCATTGTTATATTTAATAAGACTCCTTGCTTTTTCATTAAGAGATTCAATTTTCATTATTATTTTTGTGATTTATGGTCCCTTAAAAAAATTTAAAAAAAATAAAAAAAAAAAGTGGTTGAACCGGTTTGACCCACCGGTTCACCGGTTGAACCGGAAAATTGACCGGTTCAATCCGGTTTGAAACGGGTCGACTGCATAACCGATCCAACTTCAGATTCGGACCGGCTGGACCACCGGTTCCCGGTCCAACCGGTCCGACCGGCCGGGTGGGTCCGGGTTTTAAAACACTGGTTGTGTGTTTGTTATTGTCAATTCTTAAATTACTCGTTTAAATAAATAAACTATATTCAAACAATTAATTCTGCAATGAGAATGTGACACCAGGTTCGTCCGGCACAGGAAGTTCTTAAGATAAGATTGTTGACTGTGCGTTGCAAAATTGGTTTTTTTCATTTCCACTTTTATTGCATAAATCAATTAAATATTAGGTAAAAAATGAGGATATAATTGATAAAGAAAACTTAATGTTAGTTTGAAATTTAAAAATAACAAATAGAAAATAAATGTTTCAAAAATTTTATCAAATATAATTTTAGATTAATTAAGTGTAAAATCTTTTAAGGTTTAATGATCACATTATAGTATAAAATTTTTACATTATTAATCAAATAAAATTATCATTAATAGGATTTTTAAGATAATTATTTCAAAATTCAATAAGTTTATCTTATATTATTATTTTTGTAGTGTAGAATTATTTTATATTTTGGAGACAGATTTTTCTCTTAATCTTTTATACTAATATATATATATATCATATTATAAAAGGATTTAATTATCTTTTGAATTCTTATTTTATAAATTTTCTTTATTTTACAATTAAAAATGATTCATTTTTAGTTTCTATATATTATTTTTATTTCATTTTAATGTTTATCAACTTATTTTTCCCTTAAAAAAAAAGCTTATTTTTTGTAAGGACCAGAATAAAAAGTTTATACAATTATGGAAATTTAAAAAATAAAAATGATATGTAAAGAAATGAAAATAAAATATTCTTAATAAGGCTAAAAAGTAAGATTTCGTGAAATTATACGTTTTATCATCAATGATTGTGTAGTTATCCTAAACAGAAAGGAGTTAATAATAAAATCCAAAGGGGACGAAAATTCTATTGGCAGAGTTAATTTTATACTAGTGATAGATTACTACGCACACAAGCATCTTCATACATTAAAATATTAATTTTTTGAAGGGATACATTAAAATATTATTATTACGCACAGTTGCATTGCAATACGCAAGCGTCGCAGCTGATTCATTTCGCTCCAGTCTTCTATTTTTCTCTCAGCACAAGCAAAAGGGTCGTTTTTTCTGGGTACAAAATTTGGTGGGGATCATCAAAGATTGCTCTTTTCGGCAAAAGAAATTTGACCCCAAAGTAGCATCGATACTTGGTAACAATATTTAACTGGTTTTGGATAATGATTGTGAAGGATGACAATTGTGGTGTTAGTTTTGGAGGAGGAGGAAGAGGGTTGCGGGGTTTTGGAAGCTTAATTAGGAGGAAGCAAGTTGATTCTGTTCATAACAGGAGACATGCTCAACTGGCTAGGAAGTTATCTGCTGTTGACCTCGTTGGAATTGGTAATTAATGTTCAATACCACAACTTCCAAGAAAGAAGGAAATTAAGTAGAACTTTGGAGTATATGATGTTGTGGTGTGTGCTTTGTTTGTTATTAGCGACTGATTTTTCTTTCATCTTTTATTTTTTGACATTTTTTTTTGTAGTTAATGTAGGAAGCCCGTATCAAAATTTAATTTTGTCCTTCATGATGATTTTGACATGTATGGATTTGCTACTAGTTTAAGATTACTGATTTTGTTTTTAGTTATCATGACGTGTGCAATTGGCAAATTTTAATTTATGGTGATTGGTTTCTCTAGTGTATGTTGCTTTAGCTTCTTTTTATGAGACATTTACTTTCCTGAAGGTAACTGACCATTCCTGAAAATCAGGGGTTGGAGCTACCATAGGAGCTGGAGTGTATATTCTCATTGGAACAGTTGCTAGAGAGCAAGCAGGACCAGCACTTGTGCTATCACTTCTCTTTGCAGGAATAGCTGCTGGACTGTCAGCTTTTTGTTATGCAGAGCTTGCTTGTCGGTGCCCGTCTGCGGGGAGTGCTTATCATTATACGTACATATGCATTGGAGAAGGGTAAGTTACAGTTTTGGCTATTTTGGAACAAAGCATTAGGTATAAATATAATGGTTAACTGAACTATTCATGTGTTGAAGAAATCTTTTGTCAAGTTATCAACATTAATGGAACAACTATGGACTGCTATTCTGCCGCCAACTGATTTGTGAATGGTTATGTTTTGTTTGTTTGTTTTTCATCAATGTTAGTGAATTCATGATTTGAACATTGCTTTTGATCTCAGGGTTGCTTGGTTGGTTGGTTGGTCTCTGATTCTAGAATATACAATTGGGGCATCGGCTGTTGCTCGTGGCATAACCCCAAATCTGGTGTGTTATACCTTTTTTTTCCTTTTTTCTTCTAACCTCTTAAGTTATCTTTTCTTTTTTATGTTCATGGTATCTTTGTAATTGGGAATGTATGAAAGGAGTAATTGTATACATTCAAACAAGTTCTGGATATTCGGGAATCACTTATTGGTTGACTTGGATACCCCAAATGCATTTTGACACAAGGTCTATTTGATTTGCAAACTTATGTGTGATCTGTTTGGAATTCTCATCCATAATCTTAGAAACAAGGTAGAAGAGGAAATTCTGAGAAAGAACTAACATGGTGCTACCACTGTTAACGTTTGAGTTACTTGTTTGCTATTTATTTTTTATGCAGATTCCACTGAATAATGAAATGAAATCAGCTGACCTTGTGTCAAATGATATGTGTTGCCAAATATTAAGATTTTATGTTGTTAAGAGAGTGGTAAATACTCAGTTTATATCGATTTCTCCTCTAAAACCCAATGGCAGAAAGTCAACAACGGTGGACTAAGCATGCCATCAGTTATTTGTGCTGGAATTTAATTTAACAGTGAGGAACTGTATTAGGGGGATGTGAGGACCCACTTGGTCAACTATGATGCCATGTCCCATGTTAGAGAACTACGTACCTAATAGGCTAAGGTGTTGGGTAATTTTTTAGAGATGACTGTTTGCATTGATTCAGTAGTTGAAACCATAAGTTGCATATTTGAGATTTCTTTCTTTATTCCTTTTGTTTAGTTTGATTCTTTATTTTTCGAATTTTGGCTTGCTTGCAGTCACGCCTAACTATGCTTCTTTCTTATTGTTTTAAATAAAAATAATGTTATGGTAGCCTCGTATACCATACCCATGTTTTCCCTTAGGAATGCTCTATGTTTTTTGTAATTGACGACATATATACTTAACTTTATCCAACAACCACAACATACTTAGCAATTTGGGTTTGTATTAATTATGATCTTGCCTCTTGCAGGCCTTGTTTTTTGGTGGAGAGAACAACCTACCTTCATTTTTGGCTCGACATACCTTACCAGCTCTTGGTATTGTAGTTGATCCATGTGCAGCAGCATTAATTCTTCTTGTTACCCTACTCCTGTGCCTTGGAATCAAGGAGGTTGAACTTTCAAGTTTCAAATAAAATATGTACACAAATATTAGTTTATTTATTTATTATTTTTTTTTTCACTTATTTTTTCTTACAATAATGTTTCAGAGTTCAATGGCACAATCCATTGTGACCACAGTAAATGTCTGTGTCATGCTTTTCATCATTTTAGCTGGTGGATATCTAGGCTTCAAGTCTGGATGGGTTGGATATGAACTCTCCAATGGGTAATGGGTGTGTTTGTGTCTGCTTTGTTCAGCTCACAATCCATAGCATACGTTTTATTGATATCACTGAAATTTCTCTTTTATCTCAGGTATTTTCCTTATGGAATGAATGGGATATTTGCTGGGTCTGCAATAGTTTTCTTTTCATACATTGGTTTTGATTCAGTGAGCAGCACAGCTGAGGAGGTAAATATACACTGGGGGAACTGACCTTTTTAACTCATGTCTTGTTTGTATTGGCAGAAACCAAATGCAAGGCACATCAAATAAGCATGTATGCATTGTTATTTGTTCAAGGATACATTTAATATTTTGATTAAAATTCTGACTTGTACTGCGAAACCTTGACACTACTCTAATCAGTTTTATGCTGGAGTATTCCTTTGAAGATGTCATTCTGGTGACTGACTGGCATTCCTTTTTTTCCATTTGCTTGTAAAAGTTGATATATAAGCAGGTGAATGGGTACATGTTCATCTTTCTATAGCTAGTTCTTTTCACGTGTTTTGGCTTTATCAATATTTCTGTCTGGTAGTTTTTGTATCTCAAATGCATCATGGTCTTGTGATTCTGGTATTGTGATTAACATTATTCACTTGAGGATTCTTTTGTTAAAGTTTTTTGTTTTGTCATAATGCAGGTCAAAAATCCTCAACGAGACTTGCCAATTGGCATATCAACTGCATTAACTATATGTTGCATTCTGTATATGCTTGTAGCAGCAGTTATTGTTGGCTTAGTACCATATTATGAGTTGAACCCTGATACCCCAATCTCCTCAGCATTTTCTAGCTATGGGATGGAATGGGCAGTGTAAGGTTTGCTGTGGCAAACTATTTCATTGTTTATACTATCAGTTTATGGATATCTCTTGAAGCTTCAAGCTCCATTTTACCCCTGGCAGGTATATAATAACAACTGGAGCTGTCACTGCTCTTTTTGCAAGTTTGTTGGGTTCAGTTCTTCCTCAGGTACATAAACAAGACTTAATTATTTATTTAGCATCTCTGTTGATCTTTTCACTTAGTTATGGTTGCTAGATTTTGGTTTTGAATTTTCACGACCTCAAAAATTACTTCTCAACTTCATTTAAGCCCTAATTTGTTACTGGATTATTTTATTGTCATTTCGTACTTCCTGCGTATTTTGGTCTAATGTGAGATGAAATGCTGTAGCAGGAAGTCAGGAACTGAGATTGTTAGTACATTTCAAATTTCTTGCTAGAAATATTCCTAGGAAAACACCCATGAAAAGCTTACTATGCCTCTTTTAATCCTAAGTAGAGTAATTTATCCTCTTCTTTAGCAATTCAATTTACCTGTTTCCTTTTTCATATGTTAAAAGTATTGGAAATAACTTCTAAAATCACATATATGAGAATATACTCTGAATTGTATAACTAAAATTACCATCTGAAAAATATTTGGAAAACATCTTGCAAGGATTTTATTCAAAATCGCTAGAAAAGATGGATGTGGTTGAATGTTGAAGGGCACTAATGTATTTCAAGGAAATTTTTGCTTTATATCATATTACCCTTTTCACTTTTTCTAAACAAATTTCTGATAAAATAATTTTTTTCTGATGCATTGCTGTTCAAGGATTGGTATAAGGTTGTATATCATGTATACATCTCTATTTACACGAGTCTATGCATTAGATATGCTAGATATTTAATAGTTATTATAAATGTCTTTTGAACATGATAAATAATATATCTTTCTGTTGGATATATGTTTTGCAGCCACGTGTCTTTATGGCAATGGCTAGGGATGGTTTATTGCCCCCTTTCTTCTCAGACATTCACAAAGGCACACAGATCCCCTTGAAAAGTACCATTGTCACTGGTGTCTTTGCAGCCACTCTCGCATTCTTTATGGATGTTTCCCAATTAGCAGGGATGGTGAGTTAAGTTGTAAAATAATGAGACTAACTAAGGAGATACATCTTTCTTAGAATATTATAAACATAAATTTGTTGTTACATTTATTGCTTTGGGAATACAGGTTAGTGTGGGAACATTGCTTGCATTCACCACCGTTGCAGTTTCAGTTTTGATAATCAGATATGTTCCACCTGATGAGGTACCCATTCCGTCGTCACTTCTAACATCTGTTGGTCCATTGTTGACGCATTCTGGTGGTGATATTGGAGAAGATAGGGCCATAAGTCCTGTAGAGCAACTACATGACAAGTCAGAGGCTTTGCTTGGGCATCCGTTAATCATAAAAGAACAGACCAAAGGTAATTATTCTTTGAATCTTCTTCCCTTTTTATGGAGTGAATTTTGGAGAAAATTTAGAGTGTAGATGCATTTGCAGTTCTTTTGTATGTGGATAGAAGACTCCCTTTATTGGTTGATGATATCCTGTATCAAAGGGTCTGTAATTGCGGAACCGTACAAATTGATGATCTGACCCCTTCAAAGGCTTTGCTCATTCGCTCAAAATATTATCTTGAGAGGTCAATGAAGAACAGCCTAATGCTCACATTTTGTTGAAGAGTTTTTTATTTATTTATTTATTTATTTTTATTACGTATTTCACAGAAACATGCCTAATTTCTATGGAAAAAACTTAGATCATAATAAAGTTTGTAATGTTTTCCAATCAAAATTAGATCTATATCAATAATCAGCATAATAAAGGTTGTATTAAAGATCAAAATAGATTACCAAGGTGAATTCCAGTTCTGAACGGAGAATAATACTAAAAACATATAAGGAATTGTACATAAGTTATGTTTAGTTTCACTCTTGGCACTAAATTTTCTGTGAAAAAGTTTTGGTATGTGATATTCTTTGTGTCAACCTTCGCCTCCATTTTCTATATGCTAATTAAATTAACAAACTTGGATTTCGAGTTGTTTGTACAGATGAACAGAATGAGAAATCTAGGCGGAAACTTGCTGCATGGACCATTGCTCTTCTATGTATAGGGATTCTTGTAATCACCAGTGCGGCTTCTGCTGAGTGGTGTCCCAGGTCTGTCAACTTTGACAATCCTCACAAGGTTTGAGGTTGTATGGATGGTGTTCTTTTCATGAATGCTTTTCAACTGAATGATATATTCATTTTGGAAAAAAAATGGTCTGAGTTAGAAATTTTATGTTTTAAAATTCATTGGCTGTGCTACCCTTACTTCCTTTCTCTCTTGGCGATGGTGCATATGCAGGATTTTGCGCTTCACATTTTGCGGAATAGGTGGTATTCTTCTTCTATGCAGTATAATTATACTGGCCTGCATAAAGCAAGATGATACAAGGCACAGCTTTGGACACTCGGGAGGTACATGTTAACAAGTTGAGGAATGTTAGCAACACACTCTTCTTATTACACGTTCTCTTATTGATTAAAATTGATTGAAAACTATAAAAGTGGGAGAGGGACACTAAATAGGAATGACACCTACCAATATTTGTGATTTTCAATAATTTTAACGAATAAAAAAGAGTGTGTTTTTGGCATTTATTTGACAAGTTTAAATATCTAAAGCTATCAGATTTTGATGGATTGGTTAAACTCATTTTAGAATGAAATGAACTACAAATTTTGTAGCTAGCTCCTATTTAGATGTTTCCTCTCTCTAACAGCTTACAATTACCTAAGCTGCAAGGATCAACCAAAAAATGAACTTATTTTACTAAGTTTATCATATCATCTTTACAAATTTCCTATCCTGTGTATATTAACTAACTACTAGTTCATTGCGTTTCTTCTCTTAATTTCATACAAGAAGATTTGGTTAAATCTAACTCAATGGTTTTATACCTTGTATTTCAGGTTTTGCTTGCCCATTTGTTCCATTCTTACCTGCTGCCTGCATTCTCATAAATACCTACTTACTCATTGATCTTGGGTGAGAATCTCTTGACAACCATGCTTGATGCTTCCTGTTTTGTGGCATGCATGACATGAGCACCAACATCTAATCCATTCTTATGTTTGTATTTCAGAGTTGATACATGGCTACGAGTTTCAATATGGATGTGGATAGGAGTACTCGTATACGTGTTCTATGGCCGCACTCACAGCTCACTGTTGCATGCAATCTATGTACCCTCAGCATATGCTGATGAAATCCATCGTTCTCAAGCAATTCATCTTGCCTAGTATTTTCACGGCAGGTACCAAAGTTACCACATTGGAGGTCTCCATCCATTTGTTACATAATTGTCACCGTAAATCACATGCCTTACACCAATTTGTAAATATCCTATTCTAAAACTGATACTTTATTTCCGCTATCAGACGGATGATAAATATGATTATTTAGTTGTTTATTTAAACAAGTGGTGTCATATATTTTACAATGCAAATAAAATGAACGCATCGAAAATAAGGTACTGGATAAGCTTCATGCAACATGAAAATGAATTTTCTTTTTGCCAAAAAATTGAACACTAGACTAGAAGATTGCTGGGTTTGAATGAGCTTATCAAGAAACATTTATTGGAGAAAGAAACAAGGAGATAAAATGAATCAAATTTATTTCGGAGTGGGAAAGGAATTCATTTGTTCACAATTTATTTATTTTTAGTAGAAATTACCTTTACCGGAAGTAGTCTTGATCGAGTCAAATATAATTTCCATGAATAACAACGAATACATTAATCGAGTCAAACTACATATACCATTTACAGGAAGTAATCTCATTATTGTCGCACAAAAAAGTTGCAATTTGATTTGATTCCTCATTATGTCTTTATAATTAATTAAGAAGTGTTGATAATTTTTTGTTCTTGCTTCATCTTTTAGATTAGTATAATTTACAAAAATACAACAATTGAGGTGAAATTTCGATCATATTTAAAAATGAATCGATATATAGTTTTTTTTTTCTTTTATTAAAAATCCCGTTGAAGTTACACGAGGAAGTGCATTGTTACATTTGTTAGGTTCCATGTTTATCCAAACATACCCAAGTGCTGTTAAAAAAAAAGTCATTAAGTGTGTTGCTTAATCTTTAAATAGGTGTGTTGGGCATGACACTGAACACGAGCTTGAGCTTGTACATTTTGGCTCAATCGTTTTTATCTGGAAGCAGAACTTTTCAATATTTGCATAAATGCTTTTTATCTCTTCAATATTTCTACTTTACCCCAAACAATTTAAGCTCTACTCCTTAGCTCTCATCACGTGACAACCTCAACTCCTGATTCTTAGCTCTGAAATTTTGAATCTCAACTCAACTCCTACAATTTAAACTTCAAGGAAGGATTAGAGCAATTTCGTGAAGTCAAATGGAAGATCAGTCTTCTTTTGCTCTAAAGCCTATCTCTAAAATTTTTCTTTAAATTTCTTATATATGAACTTATGAATTTTTAAGTCTTAAAAAAATCTTATATATCTCCTGTTAAACTTGATCAACTTTGACTTCAATACAAAATAATTCTCAAACAATTAAATTCATAAAAATTTCTTAATCCTTAAAGTTTTAAAACATTAAATAAACAATAATTAGTTTCACAATGTTAGTAATAAAAAAATCAAATTAATTTCATTAAATTTAATCCAAAGGTTATTACTTAACCTTTCATATCTCATAATAAGACATGTTCTAATTCAATATGCTCACTATACTCATTTGATACACTCCCATAAATAGTAAACATGATTATAGATAGTCTCAAATGGTTAAATAATAGTCTTTAAATTATAGACAAAAATAATCCATTATTGAGATTAAAATTCAAATATAAATACTTTCTTAATAATGAAATCATTATTATTGTTATCTCCATGATTATTAACATTACTATCGTCATCATTAACATTGTTATTATTGTCGTTACTACTACTACCATCATCGTCCTTGCCATGTAGAGATAATGAAACAATATTAGTAGTGACATCAATAATAATAACAGTAATAATAATAATGACAATAATTCTATAGTGATAATGGTAGAAAAAATAATAATAATAACTTCATATGAGAAGTATTTATAATTAGATTTTTATATTAACAATTAATCATAAACGTAATATTTATAAAACATATGTAAATATGTATCGTAACGTAATCATATTTAGAAAATATATATAGATATTTATAACATATATAGAAAATCAAAATTATATGAAAGTTGATATATAAAATAACATTATTACTCTATCTAAAACTTTTCTTGGCGTATACATATCCGAAACACGAACACTCTCTTCATTGAGTCATTGACAATGAAATTTATAATGTTGAGAATGAAACATGGCGACTTTATTAAGCAAATGCAACGTCAACACGTAATGTCACATAAATAGCGTTATGCTTTATTTAAGTTTCCTTACTTACAAACCTGTCCGTATGTCATGGGGGTAACATATGCTCCAGTATTTATAGCAGCATATGCATATCACATTGCTGTAACCATTCCCATATACTCTATCACTGATCAAAACAAAAAACAAAAACACAAAAAAAATATCATTGATAAAAAAAAAACAAAAAACAAAAAACATCTCCTATCAATCGATCAACTTTGTCATTTGTGGATGTTGCTCATAATCATCATCTTCCTCATAGCTTCTCAATCATTTCTTACGATTAAAAAAATAATAATTACAAACAAGAGGAGTTCCGATTTGGAATTGGAGTTGTTTCTTCTTTTAGAAGGCACCAATTATTTTGCTTGTTTTGTCCTTCAAGGCAACAACCCCACCACAAAAAGCAAGGAGAATTTGTGCTTTCTCTGATTCTTCCCACAAACTAAAGCAATTTGTGATTGGAATGCGACCACATTGATTGGTCAATCGACATTAATTACATTTTGATCTGAATGCAAAATTAATATATTGGTCACAACACCATTTTTGATATTGGGACAATCATTGATTTGATTTTCCCATAAACGGAAATTGGATTTTGTGTGTGTTTTCTTTGATGGGTGTTTCCGTTGGTTCACATTCTCAAAAGGGTTCATGGGATTCCTTGAAGTTCTTAACTAGAAGGAAGCAGGTTGATTCCTCACGTAGGAACGTTGAGCCTCTCCTTGCCAAGGAGCTAAATATTCCTGATCTCATTGCAGTTGGTAATTAATTCAATTCCATTCTCTTCAAAATTTCATCTTCAATCGTGTTTTCATCTAGGAATTGTTATAACTTTCCTTGAAATTCGGTGTTGTTATGTGGGAAAGGATAATGTTCGGTTTATGTTCATGTTTGACCCTTGATTTGACGATGTTGTCGGATATGAAACTTTTCCCGCCATTTTCTCATTCACAGTGCAACATTTGCCTTCACATTTTTTATATTTCTGTGAGCATGCCACATATTTGGTTATTAACCAATAACGTGTTTATTTTTCTCATTTTCCACTCCACAAAGCATTTTCAATCTGAATTCTTATTGTTTTGCAAATTGAGTTGATATGTTATGATAATCAGGGGTTGGTTCAACAATTGGTGCTGGAGTGTATGTTCTGGTGGGAACGGTTGCACGAGAGCATGCTGGACCAGCTTTGGCAGTTTCTTTTCTGATTGCAGGATTAGCAGCTGCTCTTTCTGCATTTTGCTATGCAGAGTTGGCTAGTCGTTGCCCTTCTGCTGGAAGTGCATATCACTATTCATACATTTGTCTTGGTGAAGGGTACTCTTCTCTTTCTTTGTGTTTCAACATTATTCTTCATCTTTGTTTTTCTTTGTAATTCTAAGATTTCTGTGTGCAAAAATAATAAATCCATTGAATTTTAACAACTCAAAAGAAGATTACTTTTGATATAGAAGATATATGTTTTAATTTTAGGTTTTTGCTGAAATGAAAAATTTAGGTAAGTTGAGCTTTAGAAACTGTTATACATTAAGGTTAGAATATGTCATTGACAGCGAAAATCAAACTCACATTTTTGTAGGATACGATTTTATTACTTACTTATTGAACCAATATTTGTTGGTCAATAAAATATACATGTAGTCTTTATTAAAATATTATTTGATTTTTTTTTTCTTTTAAATTGGGAGGGGAAGGGGATAGTATTTTTTTTATGATAACTTGATTTTAGGTGAATTCAATTTACATCATGTGGTCTAGTGAAGTTAATTTGCATTATTTTTATATGAAAGAAACTTATGTCATTCTTAATTGGGAATACATCAACAAAATAATTACTTATATTTTCAGTGTTGCTTGGTTGATTGGTTGGTCCTTGATATTGGAATATACAATCGGTAGTGCTGCTGTTGCTCGTGGCATAACCCCCAATTTGGTATGATATTATTTTAATTCTTATATTGAGTTTTTGCTTCTATTAGAATATGTTGATTATATCATCCAAATTCAACTTTGTGTTTATGGTTGCTCTTTCATATTTTTAGTAGTTTGAGCTTGACCCACCTTTCATTTATATAATTTTCATTAGTTAGGTGAATCTGTAAGGATAATATGTCATGCAAAATATTCTTATTTCTTTAATATTGCAAATAAAATAATTTTCTTGGTGTACGAGTATGAAAAATCTTCTGTTTTCATTTTTTTTTAATTTCAGAAATTCTATTGGATGTTTTACATGTCTTAAAATAATAAACAAATTAGCTGATTTATTTGAAGTAAAATTGGTTTAACACTAATATCAAATATAATACTTGTGTGATTAGGGTGCACTTTTTGGTGGTGCGGATAATTTACCCATCTTCTTAGCGCGCCATTATATTCCTGGAACAGATGTGGCTGTGGATCCATGTGCAGCAATCTTGGTATTAGTTGTTACTGGACTCTTATGTGTGGGGATCAAAGAGGTAACTTTCTACTATAATCTTATTTAAGCTTAAATTTTCAAATTAGTTTAAAAGTTTTGTGACAAGTCTTTATATTTATCAAGATTTTTTAGTAGTTTACTATTTGTAGGAAACGTTTTTACTAAACTATAAGGATCTGTTTAAAAATTCTAATAAATTACAATGACCTATTCAGTTATGTTATCTAGGAATTAAATTTCTATAATTTATCCAAGTCTTTAAGTAGACTCTTATGATTTATAAAATCTAATGAAAACTTAATAATTATCATCGAATAAAGGCTTATTTAAAATGAGTTAATCACCTATACACTGTCAGTGTAAAGTTTTTTACATTAGCAACCAATTATATTTTTTAATTGTGTCATATCACTATTAAAAGATATATTTTTTTATAGTGACATGACACAATTAAAAGATATAATTGGTTGTTGCCAGTTTACACTGGCAGTATATAGGTGATTAACTCATTTAAAATTCTTTCACTAAATAAAAATTATGCAAAAATAAATAAATAATAATAGTGAAAATACAAGAATTTTTATCTAGAGTATAAAATTTTCATATTGTAGAGACTAATTTAAAAATTTATTGTAAGAATTTAGGAATTTATAGAATAATTCAACCAAAATTTTATTTTGTTTATATTTCTTGACTGTATGAGCTAGAGTTTCCTTTTCCTTTTCCTTTTGGTTGGTGTGTAACTTGTTTGCATTCTCTATCCAATCACTGTTCTTTATTATTTATAATTAAAATATCCAAAAACTTAGTGTACTTAATACATGCAGAGCACAGCGATACAAAGCATAGTGACAACGGTGAATGTATGTGCATTGCTTTTTGTCATAGCAGCTGGTGGTTACGTGGGATTCAAATCTGGATGGGTTGGATATGAACTTCCTATGGGGTACTTTTTCATTTCCTAATTGCCAATTGGTACTATAAATATTTTGTTTTTGCACTTTCCAATATGATATGGCTTCTCTATTTTGGTTGCATAGGTTTTTCCCCTTTGGGGTTGATGGGATGCTGGCTGGTTCTGCAACAGTGTTCTTTGCATATATAGGTTTTGATGCAGTTGCCAGCACTGCTGAAGAGGTATACCATGATTGCTTCACTTTATTTTAGTTAAATAATAAATATTTAGGCAGCTCAATCTTTTGAATAGTGGAAAGAAAATATTTAAATATATTTTAATCTTTGAAAATATAACTATTTTTTTCATCCTATATAAGTTTTATTCATTTTTAAATCCCTACTTATAACAAAGTGATGTGTTTTAGCTCCTCACTCACGTTTTTATGTTTTTCTGAGGGACTTAAACTACATCATTTTTTCTTTTCCAGATGAGCACGTAAATCAACTAATATGAAATTATTTATTTTAATTTAGTCAGTAATGTTAAGTTTGAATTCTAATATGCAGTTGTGACTTGTGATAATTATATATTTAATTGTATTAAATATTTAGAAGAAGAATTTTACGGTCAAACAAATTTACTTGCGATAGAAGATATATATTGAATCATAGCAAAAATAAAAAAGTTTAAAAAAATGTCATTTTTCCAATGTAGGATTAATGAATTTATAGTATTAGATATGTTTTTAGTCCATAAACTTTTATCGATTCTTAATTTTAGTCCCTAAACATTTCTCATTTGGTTTTATTCTCTAAAAAAATTTTATATGAACAAAAAATTTTGAAGACAAAGATAAAAATATTGACAGGAGAAAATGTTCAAAGGTCTAAATATGAAAATTGACAAAATTTTAAGAACTAAAAATAGTCAAAAATTTATTCGGAGACTAAAAATAAAAATTAACAAAAATTTAGAAATTAAAGACATATTTAATCATATTTTATATAAATTAATAGGAAAAAAATTGATATTTTAGAGATAAAAACATATTTAACTCAAACTCTACTCGAATTCCTTAAACAAGTGTCTTGGATTTGAAATTTATGGATGAAAAATACTTATTGAGAGCGGATACATTAGTGGTAGCCAAGCCAGGTTTCCAGTGAAGATTAGATGTTGAAAAATTCAGTGAATACTTCATACTTATAATTATAACATGATGAGTGTTAAGATAATTTTATAAGATATAGTTTAGATATACTAGTTTATCTTCTCCTAATTTCTAGTTTAGTTTCCTTAGTTAGTTTTATCTAAATCTCTAAATTTTAGGGATTGATTATGTTTTATGCCTATTTATTTTATTGTATCCATCAATTCAATAACATGAAAATTATTCAGATTCAAGTTGGTATCAGAGCATTCTGGTCCTGGTTTGGAAACCCTAACCCAGCCGCCACCAAGGCATCTAGGGTTTTTCGAATTTTGTCAGCGGTTGTCGGAGTTGACGCCGCCTGAGTGTTCAGAGGTCGCCGATCGGCCCTTCCGTCGCGAGCCACCTCCAGAACGGTGTCTCACGCGCTCTCACGCACGATTTTTGTCAGAAAAGCTCGCCGGCGCGTGGGGTTCACGCGCCGCCCTCCAGGCCTCTATTTGCGACGCCGTTTGCACCATTGGACTCGCCGGCCCTCCCTCTTCTTGTTTTGACCCTTTTTAGGTTGTGGGTCACACTGTAGGTGGTCGTTTGGTTGCTGTTTGGATTTTCGTGGTTGTTTGGGTGCTGCCACGGAATTTCGAGACTGTTTGGTTGCTATCTCGGAGGTCTTTCCGGATTGTTTGGAGGTGTTTTTTTTTGCTGTTCTTCTCTTTTTTCTCTTCATGGCAGACTTATAGTAAAAAAAATAATAATAATTGTTGAGTCATAAAAGAGGAAGGATAACAATAATAAATTCAAGAGAGGGAGAGAGATCACAGTTTGTGCTGAGAGGGTTCTTCCCCTGACTAAGATCCATTCTTATCTCATTCTACTTACAAAAATCCTAACTCAAATTCATCTTTTATATATATATATATATATATATATATATATATATATTAATTTTAGCTTTAATCATAAGATAATGGAATAGGAGCAGTAGTACAATATTATATATAAGTAGTAGTGCAATATTATTAACAAGAGAAAAAAAAATAGATAAGACTCCAATACTCTGTAGGTCCAAGATAATTCGGTTAAAATTATCAAGATGATCTCTCACAGACATATTCTCAGACATCTGCAAGGTATAGAGACGTTGCTTTTGATACAACCGATTGGTTAGGGATTTCTGCTGGAATTTATCTTCCAACATCTTCCACATCCCTGCAACCGTTGTCTCTTCACTTACCTCTCGCAGAACCTCATCAGTCAAACTCAAGATAATCAAACTATGCGCCTTTTCCAACATCGCTTTCTTTTCATCATCAATCATAATTATGGGTAATTTATCCACACCCTCCAGTGCTGCAGCGCAACCCTGATGCACAAGAACCGCTTTCATCTTCAATTTCCACAAAGTGAAATCATTCGATCCATTGAATTTATCAATATCAAATTTGTACGAAGACATTGCGTTTCTTCATATCAGACCCTAGCGTAACCTAGAGCTCTGATACCAATTGTTATGACAATATGTAAAAGAAAGAGAAGAGAAAGAAGACGACACACAAATTACGTGGTTCAGTCAGTGTGACCTACGTCCACGGGCAGTTCAAGAGTTTCTTATTTCTGAATGAATAGAGATATCTGATACAGATGCCTTTTAGCCTTATAACAAGGATAAAATATAACAACCTCATTACAACCCAAATAAGATTGAAATAGTAACAGACAAAATTATAAATTCAAGGCATCTCAACAGTTAATGTAAGTCGGCCAGGAAAAGAAAGATGCTTCATTTTCCATTGATTTAATTTATTGTTAATCTTCTCCATTACCGAGCTAAGAGTTCTTTTATTGACTCTTGAATGATGAAGATTCACACCTAGGTATTTGCCAAGATTATCTGTGCGTTGATACCCAAGTTTTGAGCTAATTTCAGAATTGACTACCCAGCCAACGTTTTTAGAAAAAAATACGTTGGTTTTCTCTTCACTCACCTTCATGCCAGAACTTTTACAGAACAGGTCCATACATGTTTTAATAATATCCACCTTCTCTAGAGAGGCTTCAACAAACAAGATCAGATCGTCAGCAAAGGCCAAATAGGATAAGGGAGGAGCATTCTTAGCTATCTTAATTGGAGCCCATAGCTTATGAGTGACTGCTATATCTATGAGATGGAAAAGGCGTTCCATACATAGGACAAAAATATATGGTGATAAAGGATCCCCTTGACGGATTTCGCGAGTTGGCTGGAAGTTTTTTAAAGCTTCACCATTCCAGAGAACCTGCATAGAAACAGTAGAATAACAGTTCTAGACTAGCTCCACAAAGTTATAAGGAAATCCAATGTCCAACAAGGTTTCCTTAATAAAATTCCAGCTTAATCTGTCATAAGCTTTCTCTAGGTCTATTTTTATGGCCATCCACCCTTTCTTCCCTTTTTTATGATTCATCGAATGAATAACTTCTTGGGTGATAATAATGTTATCATTTGTGTGCCTGTTTGGAACAAAGCTACACTGGTTTGGCCCCACCAGCCCCGCCATCATTCCATGTAAGCGACTTGCCAAAGCCTTGGTTAACACCTTATAGGCCACGTTGCACAGGCTAATCGGCCTCATTTGCTTTAAGGAGGACACGTTATCTACCTTAGGAATTAGAGTAATTAACGTGTGGTTGAGCGTTGCAACCTTTGATGGTTCTACCTGGATGTCTCGAATTAATTGACAGAGAGATTCCCCTACCGTGCTCCATTGCGTTTGATAGAAAATCGCTTGGAATCCATCAGGCCCAGGTGCCTTGAGACTGCCCATATGCTTCAAAGCTGCGAAGATCTCATGGTCGGAAAGAGGAGCTTCTAAAATATGAATATCACCAGAAGTTAACTCGGGGAAGGATTTGGAAAAACAAAATGGTTCATGCCCACCAGAGTTCGTAAATAGTTCCATGTAAAACCGGTTAACCAAGTTTTCAAGCTCAGCCTTGTCCTCAACCCAAACACCAACTTCATCTTGTAATTTAATGATGCGATTTTTCCTCCTCCTTACCACTGTACTGCCATGGAAGTAGTTCGTGTTGCGGTCACCTAACTCCAACCACTTGCACCTAGATTTTTGGAACAATAGAATCTCTTCTCGAATAAGAATATTTTCATATTGAGCCCACAGATCTTTAGAGAGGCTTTCAAGGAAAGGGTTGTAGCCTTGTCCTAGTTTAGCAGCTATCACATTTAGTCTTCTTAACAATTTTCGTTTTGTGTAAAAGATGTTACCAAAAACTTCGCGGTTCCAAGTCTGGAGGCAATGTTGAATATCCTTAACATTGCTTAACCAATCGGATTTCTTCCCCCAGTTAGTCCGAATTATATTTGGGAAATCCGGGTGTGTAAGCCAAGCAGCCTCAAATCGGAAGGGGCGACGAGTTTTGTTTATTTGCACGGAATCATCAAGTTTTAATAGTAATGAACAATGATCCGATTTCATACGATTTAGGTGTAGTACAACAGCTTGTGGAAACAACATCTGCCAAGCCATGTTAGCTAAAACTCTGTCAAGATGCTCACATAAATTTCCTCTTTTCCATGTGAATTGTTCACCTTGGAAACCAAGGTCAATGAAATCACAGTCTTGCACCACCTCCCTGAAAGCTCGATCACCCCTGTAAGATGCAGTATGAGATCCTCCTTGCCGTTCAAAATCATGAAGCACAGCGTTGAAATCTCCCATAATGCTCCACGGACCCTGAATGCCTCCTGCAATTCTTCTGAGGTCTCTCCATAACTCAACTCTAAATTGAGAGTGTGGGCTTCCATGCACTGACGTAAAGGTCCAGGAATGTGAGTTGTTGGAAATAGCAAAGTGAATATATTGTTTGGAGTATTCTAGAACGTCAAGTTTCCATAGTGATGGATTCCAAAGAACCCAAAGACCACCTGACTGTCCAATCGCATCAACAACAAAACTCTTATCAAGCTTTATCTGATTAAGAATCTTATGTGCCTTAGCACCACTAATGTGCGTCTCTTGTAGGCATAAAACTCCCACGTTGAATTCATCAATCAAATCATTAATAAGATTCACAAAACCTCTACACCCTGCACCCCTACAATTCCAACTTAATAAATTCATAAAACTGTTTTGAAGAGTGGGTGTTGAAACCCTAATAGCCTCCTTACTCGCATCAACCTTTTGATCCATTTGGGGCGCAGGACCATGCATGCCACTAGGATCTAGATGTCGTCGCATGAAGCTGGCAAACGCCATTGTTTGCTCGTCCGGATGAACAACACGAGTTATCAAATTCGTTCCATCATTCTGCCAATCGCCTTTATATGAGGTTGTATTCTTGATGCCTTGTAGAACACGATCAGTATTAAGGGTTTCACGTGATGCATGCGCTTCGCGTTCCCATGCAGACATATCAACAACCACATGAGGGTTTCCTTGGGTCTTTCCCTTCATAGAATTTTCCTTCTTTAGTTCCATGTTGACTCCCTTTGATGGAACGCTTGTCCCAGTCTGAAGGTTCGACTTATTCAAGGATTGAGAATTCTTGCCACCTATCTTGTTGCGAATCTTGACCACTTTTTGATTGGAATCACCTTGTCCCATGTCAGCATGATTAATTGGAACATAGTCTTCCTTATTTGCTATTGAGTTCGGTTGAGATTTTGGGTCATAATCTTCATCATTAAAGTGGGAATCCTTCATATCTTCCACCTTATTTTTTGCCTTATCGGTAGGTTCCCGAATATTCTTATATGGTTTTCTGTTTCATTTCACCACCATCCATGGACCATACTGGTCTTCCGAATCCTTGGTTTTCTGCTGTGAAATATTCTTTATCTCATTTTGGTTCTGATTAACCGAATTCGGGTTCATCGTCTTCACCTTGGCCCCGTTTGAGCCATTATCCACCTCCATAGACACCTGATCTTTCGCCCTTTCGGGCTGGTCCTCTTCTCCAAGCCTTTCATGGGGACAATTTGACTGCTTATGTCCATAGCGTCCACATTTAAAACATATCGAATGGAGGCCCTCGTATTCGAGTTTCAAGATATGGCCCAATACATTAATCTGTGGGACAAGCTTTTTTTGTAGATCAATCTCCACGCAGATTCTAGCAAAGCGTCCTCGGGATTAAATTGACGTAAGCTTATCAATCTTTAGCATTGATCCTAGTTTGCTACCAACTCTCCATAAGAATCTATCATTAAAGAGTTCAATAGGTAAACCAGGAATCCTTATCCAGACCGCCACTTTCCGAGTTTGTGCAGCAGTGATTGTGAAGAATGGCCGCCAGCGTTGGACCACAATGTAGTGGTCAGCAATTAGCCAGGGTCCTTCATATAACGCATGTTTATAGTCTTCTTCGGAAGCGAACTGGACTAGATAATATTCTTGTGATAGATCAACCAACCTTACTACACCAGTCTTGGCCCATTCTCGTTGGATTTTGTTATCTAGCATTCTATAGGTAACTTTCTTTCCAAGTACATGTACCACCAACAAACTTCTCCAAGGCGCACACCATTCTTCAAACTCTTCTTGAGAGACATGAATTTTTAGGCATGGATCTAGCTCTTCACCATCTCCGGTATCTAAATCTTGTTCCTTATAAAACTCATCCTCAGGGTTTTCCATCTCTTGGATCAGAGTTCTGAAATCTGTGAAAATCTTCCCTCCACCGGTTGACATCAAGCTTTCCATGTATGACTTAGCGGGGCTTTTAGTGCACTCGTTCTCAACTCCCTCCATGCCGCTTCCTTCTTCAATCATCACCGGGTCTTCATGATCACCCCTCTTCGTTTTGACTTTTTTGGAGCTTCGAAAAGAAGGATCATCATCAGGCAAAATCTCCGTTTCTAAAACCATACGTGGAGCAGAGAAAACCCTAATTCAGTCTGTTCTTCAATTTGTGCACTATAAATGTTTGAAACACTACAATATCACCCCATAAAAAATAAAAATTGTCCCATTAATTAATTAGTGTTATCCCCGTCACTGTTTTATTTAGTAACAAATTTTGTACTTTAAGTTGATAGATCTGTAACAATATAATATATTTATTATAAATTTTATTTTATATTAATTAATGTTAATTTTTTAAGTTAATAATAATGTAACAAATTAATAAATTTATTTTAGAATTTAATTTGTATGATTGTTTGTTTTATAAATCGATAATATTAAATTTACAATAATATATCAAATAATTTACATCTATTTTAAAATATTTAAATTTTTATAAAAAATAAATAAATATAATTATATCGACTCAATTAATTCAATCCAATCTAATTTATTCATAATTAAATTAGATTAAATTCCTCAGTTTGCTCCAAGGATCAACTTGCAGATATCTTTACTAAATCTTTACGAGGTCCTAGGATAACATATATATGTAACAAGCTAGATGCATATGATATATATGCTCCAGCTTGAGGGGGAGTGTTAAGATAATTCTATAAAATATAGTTTAGATATACTAGTTTATCCTCTCCTAATTTCTAGTTTAGTTTCCTTAGTTAGTTTTATCTAAATCCCTAAACTTTAGGGATTGATTATGTTTTATGCCTATTTATTTTATTGTATCCATCAATTCAATAACATGAAAATTATTCAGATTCAAGTATGAGAAAAAGAAATAATCTATACAAAGGATGTTCAATTGTTCAAACTGCTGACAATTGTTCACTTGATGAACAGGTAAAAAATCCTCAACGAGATTTACCCCTTGGTATTGGTGGTTCACTGTTTCTTTGTTGTGGGATTTATATGATGGTGTCCGTTGTTGTAGTTGGTTTAGTACCTTATTATGCAATTGATCCGGATACCCCAATATCATCTGCATTTGCTAATCAAGGGATGCAATGGGCAGCGTGAGTTTACAATTTGGCATCTCATTCTTCAATCTTCATTAAGTTTTGATGGCTCAATCTATGTAGTATTTGCCAAAGACAAGTTTCTTGTTCGTGATTGCAGTTACATTATAAATGCTGGAGCTTTCACAGCTCTCTGCTCAGCTTTGTTGGGTGGAATACTTCCCCAGGTAAAACCAATGAAAGTTGTTTAGCTTCATTTTTTTAATGTCATATTATAAATTGTTCAGTCGCTCAAGATTTTTGTTAAACAAATGGAAATCTCTAGATTCTCATATTAATGATACCTAGTAAGTGTAATGAAATTACCTTTTGTTGAAGAGGAAAATTAAATGATATTTCTATCGAGTAGATAGTGGTAGGTATTGATTAAGGATTTGTGTTACTTGATCATTTCTAGGAGAATGTTACAGGTGGAGGTATTCATAGAAAAATGTTATCAATGTTTCAATACACACCTTGATTTTCAGCACAAAAGAAAATGTTACTAGTAATTCATTTGCATTTTGCAATGGACAAGAAAACCTAGGTTAGTCTAGTGAATTTCATTCGAATCATTCAATCATATAGTTCCATTCATCACAAATTAGTCCTTTTTTCTTTTCAAGTATTTAATTTACAAGGCAAAAATGATAAATGTGTTTTCTTCGATGTTTCCCAGCCACGAATTTTGATGTCTATGGCAAGGGATGGGCTACTGCCACCTTTTTTTTCTGATATAAATAAGCAGACTCAAGTTCCTGTTAAGGGCACAATAGCTACTGGTGTTATGGCTTCAATCTTGGCATTTTTTATGGAAGTCTCTCAACTGGCAGGAATGGTAAGCCCAGAAATTATCTGCTAGGACTTTTCGCTTTAGTGTATAAAAATTTCAGTACTAATTGACATATGCATTGCAGTATAGAGTTTATCAGTTTAATTTTTATACATTGTTAGAATAAAAACTTTTGCACAATCAACTAACAAGAAATCATGGTATGATTTTTGACCTTCAAAGCATACAAACTTAACATACATGACTCATGGCCATATGTGATCGAATGACAATATAAAAACCCATTATACTATCACTATATAGAGTATAGACAATTTTGAGTCTATTTGAATACAAGCTAAAAGCACTTTTAAGAGTTTCTCTATTGAAAATGAACAATATTTTTAAGTAGAAAAGTTCTCAAAAGCGCTTCAAAATTTGTATCCAAACAAGCTCTTACTCTTCTATAAAAGTAAATACTCTTTGAATAGTGACCTGCTTATGAGGTAACTAAATTCACTTTTTAAAATATGAACTAATAATATAGTGTATTAAATAATGTGTATTTATCATTCATGTACATGTAATAACAATGTGTGACACTATACGGGTCATGACACCAGGAATTCTTCAATAAAAGTCTACAATGAATGTGTTTAACAACTTGTGGCTGTTTATCTTAATGTGGCTAGATCTTCTTTTCTTGTTTGTGATTGCATACTCATGAAATCATTAATGTCTATAGTAGTACTAATGGCATGTATGGTCTTCTCCTAAAGATCCTTTGACTGTCATGTAAATGTCTATAGTAGTATTAATGTGCATGTACCTTTTCTCCTGCAGGTTAGTGTGGGTACGCTTTTAGCATTCACCATGGTGGCAGTGTCTGTGTTGATCCTAAGATATATTCCTCCAGATGAAGTCCCATTGCCTCCATCTCTCCAGGATTCAATTGTTTCGGTGTTAAAGCGGTGTAGTTTGAACAGTGCAGAGACAGATGTGGAATATACAGATGCTGCAAATGTTGGTACTGCTGAGGACAGAAAGCCTTTAATTGTTAAGGAAGATGTTATGATTGATTTTGCTAAACATCTTGCTGTAGGCAACCGTGAGTTATCATTTCGCTTCTCCTTTACTGATCTCTATAATAGATAATATACTTTCAGTACTCCAGATATATAATTTTGGTTTAATTACCCTTTTGGTACCTATAGTTTCATCAACTTTACCTTTTAGTTCCTATAAATAAAAATATTTTTAGTCTTAATACATATCATTTTTGTTTCTTTTTAATTCTTTTAGTTTCATAAACTTTATTTTTTAGTCCCTCTAGTAATAGATGATAAGGACTAAAAAGAAACAAAAATGATATGTATAAAAGTTAAAATGAAACATTTTTTACAATAGAAACTAAAAAGTAAAGTTTATGAAACTACAAGGCTAAAAGGATAATTAAACCTATAATCTATGTTTCTCAAGTAGCTAACACTAGTTCACTTGTGAGGATTGATTTAGACTATATCCAGATTGTTATTCTCTTTTTGTCATTTGGCATATGTTTCTTTTCTCCTTAATTTATTTGTTTATTTTGGGTGCAGATCTAAATGAAGGTAACAGGCGAATTGTTGTTGGGTGGATCATAGCATTCATATGTTTAGGGGCGTTTGTCCTTGCATACGCTGCTTCAGATTTAACTCTTCTTAGGTTAGTCTAGTTGCAGATTATGTAACTTTGCTTAAGCTGCACATTTAATAACAATATATTAATTCATGGTCAAGGATTCAAGATCCCTAAATAGTATGGTGGCTGGTTTGAAATGCAAAGAAGTGGACTATTTAGGGACTTGGCCTTATGCTCTGGGAAGTGGAGTGGTTTGACAATATTATTAATGGAAAATCTCTACAATAAATATGCACTTCATTAGTGTTTATCGTGTCATTTAAAGATTGCTTGATGTTCCTAGTCTTGAGAATGTTTTTATGATATTGACAGTTATATTCGCTTCGCATTTTGTGGAGTAGGAGGTGCTCTTCTTTTGTGTTGTTTTGTTTTCCTAACCTGTATAGATCAAGATGACGCACGGCATAACTTTGGGCACTCTGGAGGTATGTCTTACAATCATTTCCTTGTGTTTCATAAATTTATGTCATTAGTGTTGCCTGTGTGGGTAGTATCTCATTCCTGTCGACTAATGTAGATGTAATGCAATGTCACACACACGAAGTGTATTGAACAAGCATAGTGTACTATCAAAACGAACTGTAGAAAGTAGGTTGGCCATTAAGCCTGTTCAGTTTAAGATAAATAACAATAATTTAATCTTTTTTCAGGTTTCATTTGCCCATTTGTGCCACTGCTTCCCATAGCTTGCATTCTCATCAATTGCTACTTACTTGTTAATCTTGGGTAAGCATTGATACTTAATTTGCTAATACTTTTGATTAATCAAGCTCACCTTTTGTATATATTTTTTCTGTCAAGTTGTGTGAAATCTTGAACATTTAAGTTTTTCCACAGATATGAAATATTGAAACTGAAGGAAGTGGTTTGATTTCAAGACTAAAAGTAACTCAGGGACCATCTATCCATTTATAAATATTTTTTAAAATGAATATCAGAATCTATCTGGTATTTTCTTTCTGCTATGCCTGCTTTAACGGTGGCAAACTAAACTTCATCTTCATCTGAGTAAACAGGCAGGGACTCTAATAGTATAATGATAGTCATATCATATGTAATGTTAATTGAACTGTTTAGTTTCTTTTAGTGAATTATCCTTCCTCCTTAGTCGTTGGTTTATATTTATAGTTTATAAATGAATAATAAAATTTAGTACAATTCAATAACTACATATTCCTGCAAATCTAGGAACCAAAGTGAAACTTTTCTTTATTAAATCAAAAGTACATGTAATTGTTGTTTTCATTTTTTTATCTCTGTTTTTACAAACGGAATGTCCATGTCCTGAAAGAAACTCTGCAATAAATTGAACTTTCATCCTACAAGAACAGAGAAGAGGCATGTGGACAAAACTATTAAGACATCTTCAATGTATTTTGTCGAATCAGAAATTCTATGTTGAGACTTTGTTAATTGAATTGCATGCTTTATCTAATTCTTGCTTATCTTTCTTTCAGAGATGGTACATGGTTGCGTGTTTCTATATGGCTGGCAACAGGACTACTAGTGTACGTGTTTTATGGCCGAACACATAGCTCTCTAAAAGATGCAATTTATGTGCCAGTGAAGCAAGTGGATGAAATTTACCAAACTCACACAAGATGTCTTGCTTAATTTCTACAAACCAAATTAGGAGGAATATGTCTGTGTGAAGATTGCTTGCATCTCAAGCCAAAGAAAATAGTGCAGTTCCCCCGGTTGAACATGTAATCTCGTACAGAAGTGCTTCTCAAGCTTAGGGTCGTGTTTAATATTTTTTTTCTTCTCGAGAAGAATGTCACTGTGGTGTGCCTAAAATATATCTCATTTGTTCCCTCATTGTGTACCATTTGTACGATATATCTTGTTCTGTGTGAGTGACTTAGGGCATGTTCAAAAGAATGTAAATTTAGCTTGATCTTTGTAATTTAAATTCATCTTTTTTGTTTTGGAACAATGAAAACATTAGAGGAGTCTATTTTCTAAGACGCAGAAAGTGATGTTGACAAGTTGTACAAATTTGTTGTATATATATATCATTAAGAAAACCTACTATTTTCTGTTTTCCATGGTAGAATGATGACAGTAGAAATTCAATGTCATTAAAAAAAATTCAAAGTGAGCCGGTTAACATGAATCTAGCTACCGATTTCAATTCTCAAGGAACCACCGAATAAGAACATGTATTCAGAATTTTGAAAACGTGTGAAGTGAAGGAGTACCCTTCCCGAAGTCATGTATATACATAGAACAAACTTCCAATTTAAACTGCACTTTTCCCATGACTTTATCCAGAGATCTGCTATTGTGGGCGCTGAGCATACATCTTAAGTTTTAAAAGTCGTTGACAATCTTTTTAAGTTTTAAATCCTTTATTAAACTCGCGAACAAGAAATTGGATCATTTAACAATTAATGTTCATACCTTATTCAGACCAGCTCGGGAAAGAAGCATATATTTATTATTGTGTGCACTGCTTTTTTTTATTGCTAAGGGTGAAAAACAAGAATTTAGGAGTAAAAATGTCCAATTAAAAAATTGAAACCTAGTGCTTGGTTAAAGGTATTTTCTTTATTATAGGTATCGATTTAACTACCATCACATTTCATTCCACCTTGTAAGAACATCATTGAGACTCTAATCATAATTCTTCACATTAAAAATGTAACGAGAATCCACAGGCTCAAGCACCACGGCACATTCTGCTATCCCCCATGGAACTCAATGAGAAGCAAAGGCAGTAAATGAAAGCTTAAAGATAATACACACATAAAAATTCAACTATAACAAAATTTTCTGGCTAATAAATTGGTAACTTCAAAAATGAGAAACTTGCACCTAGTAATCATCCGATGGACCTCATAGACAACATCGCAATTTTGATACAACAATGACTATTAATTCATTTTATTGATTAGTTCGTTGATGTGATCCTCACGGTTCCCCGTGTCTCCACCGTCTTTGTATAGAGTTTTTGATCCTTTCAAACCTTCAGCTGGCTTCTTGAGCTCAAAGGGCCACATAAAACTGACAACTTCCTTAAAATGTGGACCAACATTACAAATCTGATGCACCATGTCTTCTATGCATACAATACCAAACTTTCCTAATTCCTGCATGGCAACGAGTAGAACAATAACAAAAACAATCAAGGGGAAAAAAGTTAAAGGAAATCCAGAAATCAAGAAATACCATATATTAGTATTACCTGCTCAATAATGTTATTATCTGTTAAGGGAACTTTTCGCCTATCCAGCCTCGCAAGTCCTTTCTTGTAAATTAGCTCTTTTATGCTTTTAAGATTCGGATATCTTAAAAAGAAACAAACATTCACAAAATCAAGAACAACCCTTAGCAAGTGATATAGGATTTCACTTTAGTAAGGAACACCATATATACAGGAACATAAAGATAGAAGAAATTGCTAAACAAGGCTTTCAAGAAGGCAGTGAATTCCACCCGATGCATTGAAAGCACTCCACACTGGATGAAATACAATTGATGTGCGAGGAGCAAAGCAACAGTGTGATATTCGTTGGATTAGAACACATTATCATACTGCTTAGCATTATCTTTCCTAAATACTAAGGGTCAATTTGGGTAAATAGCTTAATTAAAGGCTTATTGAATAAGATCCTATGGATAAACTTCTCCATAATAAACACTTAGAAAATAGATAATAAGGTAACATGAATTGAAATTCTACCATAAGATAAAATCAACTTATGTGCTTCAGCTTTTGGAGAAGTTAAATGGGAACACTTCAATCGAAGTTAAGGGTATAAGTTGATTTTACGTTATGATAGAATCTCGATTCATGTTACCTTCTTATGTTCTTTTCCTACAGCAGGACCTGCGTATTAATCACATAAGCACTTATGTAAAAGTTGTTTCTACAATTATACAGGAAATTAGGGTCAAGTGTTTTCACATTATTCTAGAAAACTTATTAAAATAAGCTGAAAAGAAAAAAAAAAAAAACTTACGGATAAACACTCCCAATCACTTACACGAGTTTATACTAGGACATGCATATAAGCTAAAACTACCTATCCCAAATGGACCCTAAACTGATTTTGCCCATGAACACTCCTATTCCAAATCAATATGCAAATACCTGAAACCACCCTATCCCTCACTAACACAGCAAACATAAAATAAACAAACATTAACCAATATCTTACCCATAGGTCACATATGGCTCCACCCTCTGCAGCTTGGCCATTATCCCCTCACTAGGCTTCACAAATACAGCACTGAAAATTTTCCTCAACCCCAAGCTGTACAACACCTTCCTCGTCTTAGGATGCATGTCCTTTTTCCTAAACCAACGGCAAGACACACGTCACCACTTATTCAATTTCACAATTCCAAAAATAAAAAATCAAACCACCAAATATTTTTTTTATAAAAAAAAAAAAGGTAGCAAGATACCAACCCCTGTATCCGAATAACTATCAAGGCGGTGGAGGAGTTACAGTGAGGCACATTCCTCTTCACTCTCCGCTTCATTCTGATAAGGTCCACCTCCTATATATACATCAAATCGAAACAATTAGGTTTAGTGGTTCATTGCAAAGAGTTACGCCAGAGAACAAGTTACCTTGTTGCGATACTCGTGGACGAAATCTTCGGGCTTTTTGATGGATTGGTAGTGTTTGTGCTGGAGCTGTTCCTTTTTCCGCAAGGCCCATGCTTCGCTGTTTTTCCTCTTCTTCAGTATAACCTCAGGGATGTAGTTCAGAGGCTTTGGATCCTCTTCTGCCATCTCTGCAAACGCGCGCGGCGGAGATGGTTGTACTCTTGCGGCGGCGAACGGCGGCGATAACGTAAAGCCCTAAGGTGTGTTTATTTCGGCTTTCGATTTGGTGTTATATAGTGCTCCTTTTTTTTTTTTTTTGTTCCTTTTTTCTTTTAATTTGATTTTGGTTGCGCGCTTCATTGGGCTGGTCTTGATCCATTGGGCCGAGTTTTTGATTGGGCTTTTTTAAGTTGGACATCTTTTTTAATAAAAAAAATAATATATATAATATATACTGATAAATGATAATAATAACAGGAATATCCTTTTCTTAGGTACACTTTTTCGTGCAAATCACATACTAATTAAATTTTTTATGCATTCGTAAAAAATTCAGAGAAAAATATTGTGAAATCTATTGGAATAAAATATATAACATTAAATAATATGTTTTTTGGCACATGGAACTGGTACAACACAGATTCTTAAAATATATCTAGAGAAAGAAGAAAATATTTCAATTTATAACTGAGCCATGGTGTTTTATTTTTATAGAATTTATGAAATCTTTTACGTGCTTTTAAAATACTTTTAAAATAAAAATAAACAAAGAAACTTTTAAAAATAAACATTACTATTTTCTCTCATTCATCTCTAATGAGAGGAAGACGCATAGAACATGCATAACAAAATTACACTACTTGTCAAACAAAAAATACACTATTTACTAGATTTTCATGCTATTCTTTTTTATTTTTGTGAGCATGTTTTTCGTAATTAATGTCCAATGCAATCACGCATTTGAGTTACTTGAGGGGATTTTTATTTACTTTTTTTTTAATTTATATAATTGGACATTATTAAATTTCAAAATTAAACTTAGGCATTTAAGAAAGGTTCTTGCAACTAATAATTGATTTCAATACATCTAAATAAAACCTTGAATTTAAGTCTTTAGAATGAAAATAAAAACATGATTGAAAAGGAAGACTTCACTAAAGGCACTCAGTCAAGTTTCAAATATTAGTCATCAATAAAATTAATAGTAGTTTACACAAATAAATTAGTTATTATAACAAAGAAAAAGTTCTTGCATTCAAATTATTACAGTGATAATAGGTTCAAGATATTAGAAATTGACTCGTTTAAGCATAATTATAAATCTTGGTTCGATGATCAACTAGATTAATATATTAGATGAGTAAATTACTGATTGAACTGCTTGAATTAATATGTAATAAAATAAATAATTTTAAATTAATGAGTTACTAAAAAAAAAATTCAGATCACAAGTTCAAATCTTGTTTAATTTAAAATCCTCTAATTTTATATATAATTTTCTCAAATTGTGATTTTCTTATAGTGTGCAAGGCCAACAAGCGTAGGAGGAGTTAATGTTCATTTATCCTTCAATCATTCTTAAACACTCGAGTTTGAGTTCAATTTCATTCAAAATTCTCTCAGTTTTTGTAATTTTCTCAAAATGTAATTTTCTTAAAACATGCAAGGCTCAGATTAGCTGGTTAAGTAGTCATTTAGCATTCAACCATTCTTAAACACTCGAACTTCAATCCCATTTCATACAAAATCCTCACATTTTTTTCTATAATTTTCTCAAAACACGATTTTTTTATATAATATGCAAGCCTAGCAAGAGTGGGACAACTTGCTCTACACTATGACAAACATAATATATATATATATATATATATATATAAAATATATATGAGGAGGGTTCAAACAACACTGGTGTAACTTTTATTAAGTGTTACACCGCTTAATAACTTTATATTAAATGTGAATTTTAAAAATTCAACCGTTAGATTGAAAGTTCATATATCTTAGATCATATATATTAAATTTTATATTAATCTAAGATAATTTGATACTTCATTCTCATAAAACAAAATTGACGTAATATATACATTTCAAAATATACTAAAATATGAACACCTTAATTATCTTCAAGTTGTTGTTCAATTTTAACAAAATTTGACGTATATGATTTAAGATATATGAATTTTCAATCTAACGGTTAGATTTTTAAAATTCACATTTAATGTAAAATTATTAAGCAGTGTAACACTTAATAAAAATTACACCGGTATCGTTTGAACCCTCCTATATATATATAAACCCTAAACCCTAAACCAATAGGTTCAGTGGTCATTAAGCCTTCAACTATTCTTAAACATTCAAGATTGAATCCCATTTGATTGTAAGTCCTCTCATTTTCTCTATAATTTTCCCAATACATGATTTCCTCATAACATGCCAAGCCAACAAGCGTGAGACAATTTGCACTACACAATGATAGGCATGGAAAATAGAGCAATGACGAATGCATGCATATAAGAGATGCTAGGAATTTTAAGGTTTTAAAAAAATCTAATTGAACAGGTTGCACCATATCAAGTGCATATCCAATAGAAAAAGAAGCTAGAGCTGGTTGGTTCAATGAACATTTAGCCTTCACCAATTCTTAAACACTTGAGCTCGAACCTGTTTCATTCAAAATCCTTTCATTTTCTTGTAATTTTCTCAAAATGTGATTTTCTCATACCGTCTAAGACTAACAAACGTGAGACAAACATGAAAAAATAGAGCAATGACAAACATGTGCCTAGAAGAGATGTTAAAGTTTTTAAAGTTTAAAAATAAATATAATTGAATTTGCTGCATCGAGTTGAGTGCATATCAAATTGAAAGAAAAAAAAAAGTGAGTTAGTGGTCATTTAGCCTTCAACTATTCGTAAACACTCGAGTTCGAATTTCATTTTAATCAAAGTCCTAACATTTTCTATAATTTTTTCAAAATGTGTTTTTCTCATATTATGCAAGGCTAACAAGCGTGAGACAACTTGCACGAAATCATGGTTCCCCAACCAGATAGTGAGTCAATTTTTTGAAACACTACATGCCAATGAATGTATAATTCGTCTAGGTGATAGACTAGTAGTAAATTGTGGAAAATAATAACTACATTTTATATTTTGAAGCTATATTTTGCAAACAAAAGTTACTGGAATTATAATAAATCGATTTACTTATTTAAAAATAACATAATCAAAATTTTAGTAGGTCTAACAGGCATTTAATTTAATTTTCACTTTAAATCATCTTACGAAGGTTTGAAAGAAGGAAAAAAAAATTAAAATTTAAGACCCGGTTGTGTTTCCATTTCCCATTTTTAATTACAAAACTATCATTATTTCTAATCTATTTTCTCTGTTCAAGTATTTGTATATGAAACAAAAATATATATTTTTTCAATATTTCTTGGATAAATATTTGAAAACAAGATTATAATTTTGTAATTAAAAAATAAAAACACAAATAAACTAAGACTACACAAGCCATAATTATGGAATATAATCTAGACAGCTTATTAATGATGTAAAAAAATAAAAATAAAAATAAAAATAAAAACCTATTTCTATCAGAATAATTCGAAGTTATCATTCAATTTCAAGGTGCAAATCTTACGAAGTAATACATGTCACGAAATAACAGTAGAGTATTAACAAGTCTAATGACTTCTATATAAAAATAAATAAATAGAGTCTAATAACCAGTGAGGTTACACAGCAAAACTTGCGATTTGGAGTATCGAAATATCAAAATTTTAATTAAGTAAAACTGACAATAAATACAATGTGATGTTCATCCCTCTCCCTTGAACTGTTGTTACATAGATTTACATTTGATACCTCCAAATCAGGAGGGAAGCAACACATAAAATAATTCAAGACTGAAATATATAACAACGGATTGAAGATAGAGAGTATCATCGGGAGAAGAAACAGACAAAATTCCCATCATCACAAACATCCGAAGCATTACAGTGAGATGTACGGACTATACAAAGAGTTCTCTCTTACACCTTTCCACTTTCCAGCATAAGCAAAGGTTGTCTGCTTTTCAAAGAAGCAAGGGTCGCATGGATTCCAGTTTAGGCTCCAGCATGTTCCAAAAAAATTTCACTGCCAATAAGATCAATACAATCAGTAGGAAAGTAAAATAACTCTGGAAATAGAAAACATGCCACCAAAGCCTGCATCATGCTTATAGAAAACAAAACTTTCAGACTTACAATCATACTACTTAGTCATTAGTTCTTAGATAAACATAAAACTCAACTGCCATCCTAGCTATGCAGTCTCATCCCTGCGAGATTGTTTCTAGGGTTTGAACCTGTGACCTTCCAGTCACAAGGCAGCAACCTTATTTTTGCGTCAAGGCTTGCCCTCTAAATAGCCTCTGTTCTGGGGCTACTGAATTGCCAATCATTTAACAGGGGCTGAGCAGTTTGAGTTCTGGCAATTTTCTCTTGTTTACCATTTATATAGTGTTATCAAAATAGTTGTTCCTTGAGGCAAGATTTGAGAGTCTGGGTATCAATAAAATAAATCAGCAGAGAATCAATATAGGTTGTTCATACCATTAATCTGCTTGTTTGCAAGAGCTTGCAACCTCAGCCTTCTTGTGCATGTGAAACCAAAATTTTCTCATTAGCATTACTTCTCTCTGCTTTAGTTGCAAATACTTTGGCTATCGGTTTTATGCCTCTCCACTAACCAAACTATTTTCATCTTTGCCAGAGACACTACCAGCTTCTTTGTTGCTACTCTTATTAGTTTTGTCTTCATCAGGGTTGTCCTGAGAAGAGCTGACCAATCTCCTGACAAACTTTTTAGATGGAAGTACAGAATCATCCTCTGAACTCCTTTTAGAAGAGGCTGTAACTTTGGGAGTGCTAGAAACCTTTTTCAATGAATCCTTATCAGGTGATTTTGATGAAGTTTCTTCTGCATCTTCAGTGAGTTTGCCAGTAGGCTGTTTAACATTTGAGTTGTCAGGATCTGTATCAGGAAGCATTGCTCGGTGACTAAGGCGCAGCTGGCCCTTATCATTTTTCTGCAGTGCATGCTTAAAAACATAAGACAGAATGCCTACCACACAAAATGGTAACATCGAACATTTTGAAACAACAAAAACACAAATCACATTCTTAGAATATAAGAAAATTCTGTTTTAAATATGTTTTTAATGCCTCAAATTTGAAGTAAATATATTTTTAGTTCTCAAATTTAAAATTGATCTTTAAGTCCTATAATTTAAAAAAAAATAAAAAATAAAAAATAAAAACTTCTTTTCAGGGACAAATCGAGTCTACAATTACATGAAGACAGTAATATCATAACCTTATGTTCCTTTGAGCAAATAAAACCCAAATCATGTAGTCAACTGTCTATAAAATAGTTATAACTTACGAACACCCTCAAGTGAGAAGTGAGCACAACTATGTCACTCACTAAAATAACCTAGCAAATAGGACACTAAATGAAGGAATCGCTTGGCTATGTTGAATCACCATTGAGAAAAACACGAATTACTACGAAATCAGGCATAGAGCTATTGGTAAACTTGAACATGATTCAAAGCTAACAATGAGTAAAATGACATACCTCTATAAGCTTTACATCAATACGATCTCCCACTTTGAAAACCTGGAGGAATGCAAGTCAAATATTATCCCAGCATTATTTGCATACACTGTTAATTTTCATTGGAAAATGAAATCAGAAGAACAAGCTTACATCTTCTGCCTTGGGTAACCAACCTGAACTCAGTTCACTGATATGACAAAGTCCCTACATAAGATGATAAAAAATGTCTACATGTTATATAAAGTTCAGAATTTCATCATTCTATAGAAGCATGCTACTTTTCCTTTCAAAAATTTTTAAAGCATTCTCAAGTGAAATGCAAACAATGAAAGGGAAATACATCTTTCTAATCATCTGAGAATTATAAAACATGATAACATGAAGTATCAGCTCAGCTCTAAAACATATATGAGATTTAAGAAATAAAACAAGCAAAGATACAACTTCATTAGAAAATCCAAAATTCAACTACATTAAAGAAGATATCTAATGGTATCTGTTTCTAAATTATCTACATTTACACTTTTGGCAACCAGGTGGAAGCATGTACCTCTCGTCCAGGTGCTATCTCTACAAAAACTCCATAAGGGGCTATTGATTTGATTTCACAGTTCCTGAAGTATAGAAGGCAGCACAATCATATATATATATATATATATAATTTATCAATAGTTCTCTTTTGTAAACAAAATGGTAATCATTAAAGAAAAACAAAAGGAAATTTTCATAGCTAATTTATGTTTTCAGTCCCTTAAAATATTGTGATTATTTGGCCCCTTCGTTAGTCTTTCATTAGTTTTATCCAAAAAAAAATTTTGCTTATTTTCTAGTCTCTCTAAATATGACCCTCTTTTTTCCGTTTGGTCCCTTATTTTTTTCTTAGTCATCTTGGCACATGACAGAAAACAAATAGAAGTCTAACAAACAGACTATATGGGAACAAAAATAAAAAAAGCAAAATTGAGAACTAAATAACTTGTTGAAAATGGGGACCAAATGGGAGAGTCATGATATTTTGAGGGACAAAAATCATAACTTAAACTACTTTTATAAAGAAGAAATTTGTTAAGGCAAGAAAGAAGAAAATCAAGAGGAAAATAGATCCATTCATGTCATTAAATTTCGAAAAGAAAATCACAAATAATTCTTTTTGTTGAGATTACGATAAGATTGTATCAAGATTATGAGATATAAGCTGAGACTTGCTAGAATATTTAACTGACTTCATTGTAATTATTTCCTTTTAATAGCTGAACATAATTAGACCGACTATCTTGTAGATCAAGTAATATTCTTTCCCTAATTATGGGAAACCCCCATTGTACATGTACAGTACTTCTATATACATGGAAGGGCGGGGAGACTCTCACTCAAGCAAGTTTTCTATCAAACCTTTGTCTTTATTTTCTGTATTAAGTGATAAGTCACTATTTAAAGTCTACTATTTTATAAATTTTATGACATAGAAATATATCATTCTCAAAGGCCTTGGGGGTAAAGACCAGGAAAGCCAGATGAATAGTTCTGAGCCAAAGCATACATACTACTCTTTCATTTGAAAGATAAGAAGGAAGAGGAGGAAGCAGGAAATAAAACCAAAAGGTTAACAACCTACTCCCCATCCCCACCCCACCAAAATAACACTTAGAATTACTTTCCAAGCATTTTGTACGTTATGAGCAGCAATTGACCCATGAATCTTGAAGAGATGCTGAGAAAATGTGTGTATCCACACATGTAATCCTCAATTTATAATGAATAAAGATACAAAATAAGAAAATACAAAAACAAAAGATAACAAGTAATAATGAACAGAATCCCTAATTCCTGCTATACAAATTTCCCTAATTACTAGGGGTGTGCAAAAAATCCAAATTGATCCGAACCGATCCATAACCGATCCGATCCATATTGAAAAATCCGATCCATTTTGAAGAAAAAAAATCCGAACCGATCCACTTCATAAAACCGGTTCAATTATCCAATCCATTTTAACAAAGTGGATCGGTTCGGTTCGGTTTGGTTTTAAAAAAAAAAACGATCCATATGTGAGTAAAAAATGGATAACCACACCGAATCGAACCGATCCAATTTCAAAAAAATCGATCCATATTTATAAAAAAAAACAAACCGATCCATTTTATAAAAAACGGATCGGTTAACCGATCCACTTTTATAAAACGGTTCGGTTCAGTTTGAAAAAAACCGATCCATGAACACCCCTACTAATTACAAAGGGATCATATCAAATCATATATTTAACAAGTCTCTTGCAGATGTTTCACTGTTTAGGAGTACTTAATTTTTCACACTTTCTATCTAATTATTTTTTAACTTGTACTATTTTCGTCGTAGCAATGCAAGCAACAAATCAATATAACTAGAAAAAGTGATTACCTATATATATCACCAATAGTTGGAACCATTGTCAAACTATTAATAATAGCTTTAGACTTCTCTAAACTAGATAGATCTTTTGCAAATATTTTCACCTGCAAAAGCCACGGAAGAGTTATTCATTGTAAATTAACAGAAGAGTAACTGTAATAATCACATAAAAGCACGTATATAAGCTGATTATTCTCGTACAGTGCCATTATCTTCTGTATCGATAGCCTCTACTCCAGATTCTTCAATGATGCTCTTCACTTTTTTCCCACCAGAACCAATTATAAGATTTATTCTATCTGGTTTGACCTATTAAAAATGTGTACATGATAACCGATGGATGATTAAGTGATAACCAATGAAGGGGGAAAAGGAAAGTAACAAACAAACCTTCATAACGTGAATCAGAGGAGCATGCTTGGAAAGCTTTTTGGCGGGAGGAGGTGAGCAGTTCATCATTGCTCCTGGATTAGGCAACAAAAGGGAGAACAAAAGACAGATATTTAAGACATCAACAGCAACCAAAGAAAATTAATTTAATACTTGAAAAATATAAAACAATTTTGGAATTTTACAGAACTACAAGTATTGCTCCCTAAATCACAAGTAGGATTTTATTTCACCAAGAGTGAAGTATATGCAGACTGAATTAAAAATGTGAACAGGAAGATCAAGAGTCATATTTTCTTAACTGCAAACAAAGTAAATGGAAAATATAGAAAATGTTCACCTCTATAGAATTGTTAACGTAAGGGTAAGGAATATCCTACTTATATTTAGTATTTACTAGTTTGGTCCTTCCATGTGAATTTTGAATAAAATATGGGTGTGACTAATATGAATAGATAACCATTAAGTTTAGGTTTTGACAAAAAAAAAAAAAAAAGAGCTCATTATCCCATCTTCAAAACCCCACTTTTATTTTTTTTTCCTGTGTTGACACCTTTTATCGGGTAAATGTAAAAGTTTAAGTTTTTTTGACTTTTTGTCATTTTACTAAGTGTTCAGAATCTAGAGAGATTTGAGAGAAAATCCAAGAAAATTGATGGATTGATCAAAGTTATTGCCAAGCACAGTGATGCCTATTTTTAAGTTACAAAGTTAGTCAGATTCCCCACCTTACAGTTTATCTAACTAACCTATAACAGAGTACAGTTGTCATATATAATATATAACATATTACAATTGATAGTTAGCTAATAGCTATACCATATAGTCTAAGACTAAGCATGCCACAAGAGACTGAAAGCTCCTACATATAATATAAAAAAGCAAGATATGCAATAATCAGGGTGAAACTAAAGTCCCAAAGTGAGTTACAAAAAACTACTTATATTAATTATCCATGTTTGACATCAACCAAGAAGACAGTTCTAAGATGATAGGTTCATGCTTTGAAAGGTGCAGTTGTTAGATGTCATCTTAAAACAGTTATATAAGCAGCATCCCAAGAATTGAAACAGGCGATGAGGGACTTGCCAACAACCCCCTCTACATATGACTGCCAAAACAAGCAATGCATGCCAGAATAGGCAAACCACAAAGATAGGTTGTAGGCTTTGATAACATGTTAGATTTCATCTTAAATCCAATTGGTATTGAGTGAAGTTGTCCAACACATATGTGTTACACCCTATTGGGAAACACCCAAGTCCTAAATTGACTAGATATATAGCAAACAAAAAGTATATAAGTGGGAGCCAACTCTCACCTTATAAACCGATTTTGTAACGTTGAGTTAAGCTCCAAACCCACATTCTAAGACACCCCAATAATTGAGGCAAGAGATGTGGTACTTCCCAACAACATCAATATGGTGTTATATTACAGTATAAACAAAAAGCTTTTGACATCCCCCCTCCCCCCACGAAAAATCTACAGGATTTAAGAAAAAGAGAGCAAAAGAAAATAAAATTGATAGTGAATAATATGCTTGGATAAAACCCATTACCAATTTATACTGATAAGTAGGTCATGCACTAAAATAGTATCCTATTAAGCATTACTTTCAAAATAAAAGCCTTAACCATATAGGGGAGTTTGGTCTTTCAGAAAGAATGTGTGTACTGTAAGAATATAGTGAAAATTTAAGAAATTAAAAAAAAAATGGAAATGGAAGGAGGACAATAGAGGAAAACTCATCACTGTCAAAATAAAAGCCTTAACCAATATACAGGAAGCTGACCTTCCAAAAAGAACATGTGAACTACCAATGAAAAATATATAAAAGAGTTAGAAATAAGAAACTGGAAGAAGGACATACAGGAGAACAACCTTATGGTTCTAAAGTCCAAAGACTCCAAAAACAAGCATCCTAGGGATTACGAAAGAGGAACAGCCAAGAATGGCCATCAAGGAAACTATGACAGAAGTCTTACAACTACAAGTCATGATCACTAACATTATAAAAAGAAGAAAAAATGGAAATTTCAGTAAATGGACTAGTCAAACAACAGGAAAAGATTTGGATTTTACACTCCTCTAAAGTATTTCATGTAAATGGGCAATTCCTAATTCCAGATCCTCGCTCATCCTCCATACATGTTCTTAAGAAAGTGAATTATAAACCTAACTTAACTTTGCAAAATCGGTTTGTAAGATAAGGATTACACCTCGCTACTATAGCCTTATCACTAGTTGATGTAAAATCTCTAACACACCCTCAAGCCAAGGAATGGACATTTCTAACATGAAATTAGCATAACTAGACAAATGTTGATAGTCTGATAACGACCTAATAATAGGTGTCTAATAAGTCCAACAACAATTAATAATCATTAGGATATACCTTGATACCATCTTAAGAAAATGAGTTATAAACCTAACTTAACCTTATAAAACCGACTTGTAAGATAAGGATTGCATCTCATTTATATATATTATTATGACCTTATTATTAGTCGATGTGGGATCTCCAACATGTATATGAGTTTCTACGTGCTAAATGCATTTTAAGGCACCCTCTGAGTTGAATAATTACATAGGATTAAATTGAATGAAATGCTGCAGACTACATAATACAACAAAGAACTTTTCCCCTAATGGTTTGTGTAATGTGTTTCTCTTTGAGATTAGCACCCACTCAACATTTTAGCTACAAATCACTTGATAGTTGCTACCATAGAGTGATGGAAACACAGTTTATTTTTTTATTTTACCATAGAGTGAGCAAAGAAGGTTTTCTATCTCGGTTGGAGTGTCATTGTTTTTCCTTAATTTTCCTATCCATCTTGTAAGTAGCTGTATGCACCGACTGTCTTCTTACTATTTCATTTGTGATGTCTGTGTTCTGTGAGATTGTAATTGAGCTATCTTAATACCAAATTTAGTTTCATTTCTACTTTATTCCTCTGGTTCCAATCACAAGGAAAAGCTCCACTTATGAAATGTACAAATTCATTAACTGCACCATACATGCAAGTCATACCAGCATGAAGGAAGCTAGTGTTTTAACTTTACCAAGTATATGCTTCCTGCCATCTCTTGCTTGAAGGAGTGCCTTTCTCATGATGGGCAAAGTAATTCCACCCACCTGCAACATGATATATTAATAACCATTAACAAAGAGTACCATAACACACACACACACACACACACACACACATATATATATATATATATCAAATAAAATAACTTATTTAGAAGGGAAAGTGAATAAAAATAACAAGTAGAAGCTAGTTAATAAATAATAAGTGCTCTCCCTTCAAAGAAAATAAGCAGTTTTTCAAAATCCAAACAAGTGAGTAAAGAAGAAATAAGCATATCAAGATATTAGCATTTAAATGTTCATATTCATAATATTTCACCTTAATGTCCATTTGAAATGCAGTTATGCCATCCTCATTTCCAGCAACCTGCATTTTATCATTGTCAAAACATATTTTTTAGCAATATGATATGAATACAATGTTGACCAAATATAAATAAACTAGAAATGAAATTATAGAACAGACCCAACTCCACTCTCCATATTACTTATCAACCACATGATCAGGTGAAGAAGTAAGTATACAAGTTCAATTATGTAAATTACAACCTTGAAATCCATATCTCCAGATGCATCTTCAGAGCCAATTATGTCAGACAGAATAAGTGGAGTTCCATCTCCACCAAATTCCTTGGTGTCCAGTACCATACCCATTGCAATTCCAGCAATTGAACACTTAATAGGAACCCCAGCATCTTGCAATGCTAAGCAACCTCCACAAACAGAAGCCATACTATAATAAAATAAACTTTTTTATATTAAATGTGGAAATATCAAAGGCTCGTAAAAAAGAACAATAGTATAGTGCGCAAAAATATAAAACAGTGAATTAGAGGTGGTAGAATATGACATCCCCCTTAAATAGCAAAAATATCTCATCAACAGCAAAAGAACCATGAGCTTTGGATCTGAGTTCTATACATAAATGCTAAACAACAGCAAAAACAGCATAGCTTCAGAAAGTCTACAGCTTCTTACCCATCACAAAACCATGATTCTGGAACCCAAGACATTTCAGAATTTAGCTTAAAATGTTTGGAGTACAACAGAACAATCAATGTAATTCATGTGTCCCTCGATGCTCATTTTCCAGGGAAACATTATTGGCTTAATTGTATCTTTTGTTACTCATGTTTCACAATGTCGTAAATTCTACCATCCAACTTTCAAATTTTCAACATTGTGTAACCTTGTTAGTTGGTCGTCAAACATCATTAGTTGACCAATAACTGCTACCGTACCGTGACACATTATGCTACGTCATCGATTCATACAAGTGATCAATGTGTCACATTAGCCGTCAATGTGCCATGTTGGTGGTTTACTAAAAGTGTCAAACGATCAACTAACATGGTAGAATATGCGAAATTTTGAAAGTTGGCGGCAAAATCATAAAATATGAATGACAAAAAGTTCAATTAAACTTATAATTTTTTAGCCAAGAACTTTTTTTTTGTTAAATTTTTGTTCTTGTTTAGGATCGTTGTACCAGGCAGGACATGAGTGTTGAGAATATCAGTGTTTTAAATTGCGGGCTGCATTACGTGTTGCAGCTACAATATTGTGGTTCTAGAGCTTCACACAACAACAGACCGCAATTGTGGAATGTGGAGTGATTTCAAATCACGTTTTCCTGCAATACAATGCCATTACAGCCACAACAGAGCCACTACATTCACAACTCGAAGAAGCAAGTGAAAAAAAAGAAGAAAGCAAAGCAGAGCAGATAATTGTTTGAGTCTTTCAGATCTAGACTCCAAGAGGTTCTCCCTACATCTTTGTCTCGCTGTGTGGCTGAATGTGCTCTGCTCTCCACCTTCCTGTTTCTGTTCTGCACTAATGAGGAGGAGAGTAGGGAGAGTTGAAGGGGCTGTGGTTTCATCCATCCATGACTCAGTGGAAAAGGGAGACTATGGGTTTGTGTTTTATTAAAAAAAAAATTATGGCTTGAACTGTCTTCCACGCATGCACTCCATTGCAAGTTGTCCCACACCGCCCAATGTGCACATTCTTTGTGAGCTTCATATGTCAGCCATTTAATTGATATTTATTTAATTAATATATAAGTGATTTAAATAATTTTATATTTATATTTTTAATTTAAAATTAATATTTAGTTATATTGAAATAACTCTAGTATATTTTTAATTGTGTTTCTCTAGTTTTTTTAAATTTATTTAGATTGCATCTTTACTTTTAGGCTTAAATATGTTTTTAGTCCCTCAAATTTAAAACTGATTTATTTAGTCATGTAATTTCAAAAAATCTTTTTTTAATCCTTATATTCAAATTTTATATGAGAATTTATCAAATATTGTCGCATAAAATCTACTTATTAATATCTCTATTAGTAAAAACATCACATTAAACCAAACTAATAGCGTATAATTGTTTCAATTTGTTGCTTTCAAATATATTATTGGTGACCTGAGGAACTAAAATAAGATTTTTGAAAATTACAGAGACTAAAAATAACAGTTATAAATTTGAGTGACTAAAACCAACTTTACCCTAAATTTGAGAAACTAAACATATTTATGCCTTACTTTTATTATAAATGATACAAAATTTTAAAAATGAATGAAAATATTAAATATATAGAAACTTAAACAAAAGATATACTAATAATTATAGAATTTTTTTTAATGTTAAGTGCAAACACATAATAACTTCATGTCACAATCTATATTGCAGTAGCCGCAATGCTCGCAACCGCAATTTAGAACCATAATTGAGGATTATATCATCTTTCACTGTCAGATTTTATTACATTAATTATACATAAATAGAGGATATTTTGTTTCCTCTAGATCAGAACCATAGTTGAGGATATTTTGTCTCCTCTATAAACTGCTATTATGATAATAAATAAATACAGAATATCATATTCTGATTTCCAACATAAAGAATGTAAATTTTGTATTGAAACTTAAAAAGGAAAGAAAATAAAAGGAAAAAAGAAATAACTCACCTTGAAGAGCCATTGCTTTCTGTGATAGTACTCTCAACTCGTATAGTGTAAGGGAAATCAACTTCAGAAGGCAAAATTGGTTCAAGGGATCTCTCAGCAAGCATACCATGACCAATTTCTCTTCTACTTGGGGCACCAATCCGGCCAGCTTCCCCAACACATGAAGGTGGAAATGAATACTGCAAATGTTGAGTTAGTCACAACAATTTTCATTCTGAAATTTTAAGGGAAGAGGCATAAAACATGGATACCAAAAGTTTTGTTGGTGCATAAACAAGCAAAAAAATGAATACAAAGAAAAGAAGCGACAAATGTTCAAAGTTAAATCCAGTCACCAATATCAAATGTTACTACAAGAGTATAGATATATAACGTGGTTGATTTGAGAAAAATCATGATCAGGTGGGTTGGTTTTGAACATAAATAAGAATGGAAAATGAAAGAGAAGAGAATCAGAGAGAAAAATGCAAATGTATTATTCTGCTCTGCCTAGGGAAAAATTCCTTTACTACTCTGAAAACAGTTTATTCAATACAAAGAAAAATAATATCCCCCCTAATTCAAAGTACAAAGGTATTTATAAAGCCCCCTCCACAAATCCCAAATTGTCAAACGAGGCTTCCCAGTAATCAGTCACTCATTACATCTCATTGGTTCCCTTGTCTCCTAGAATAATCTTTTAATATTGGAACCTCTTGGCTCATGACAGTGATGTGGAGCATTTGATGCAGCCACTGCCATGTCATCAACTGAGAACTAGTTGGACCTGCTGAATGGCAGTTCAGAGCGTTATCTTGGCTTTTGGCATCTATAGATCTAATAATGAACTAAACTTGAAAACGGATTACAAGTCAACCCAACCAGTCCAGTTAGGTTTTTTCAAATATTGCTCAGATTTCTAAAAATAGGCAACATCCACAGCCTTACACCAATTTAAAAGAACATAAAAGTAGTCAAGTTCTAAAGATACCTGCAGATAAAACCTCTTGAAATCAGCAACACCATCAAGAGTATCTATTCTTTGCGCCATTTGTTTATCTCCAAGTGTAACAACTGCTAGTGACTGCCAACCAGATAAAGCCAATTTATCACTCAAGTTAAGATGCAGATATAAAAATCACTAAAGGAAGTATTGAAAGTCAAACTCTGAAAAAAGTACAAAAATAAAAATCACATGGTTTTTAGTAATCATGAGATGTTCATTGTACACCTCTAAAGAAAGTGGATTGGAGTCTAATTCTACCTTACGAAACCATCTTGTAAGGTAAGAATTACTCCTCACTTATATACATTATTATGATCATCTCACTAGTTGATGTAGAATCTCCAACACACACCCCTCACATTGAAGACCGAACATTTGCAGGTAATCTGATAACAGTCCAATAGCAAGATGGCTTGATAAGTCCAACAACAAATAGCCTAGGATAGGCTTTAATACCAACTTAAGAAAGTGGATCGGAGTTTAACTCAATCTAACAAAGTAAGGTGAGGATTGCTCCACATTAATATACACTGTTATAGGATTAATCTCCACTTATATACATTATTATGGTCATCTCAGTAATTGATCTGGGATCTCCAACAACACCAAATTGCCAAAATGGGGCAGCATGGAAGACTTGTGACCAGACCCAAAATTGAAAATGGAGAAACATACAGTTATGATTTTGGGTGAAGTCATAATGAAAATACATGTTTCCTCAAGTAGAAGCTTCTTAAAACAACCATCACAATTGGTGTGTCTAGAACTCTAGAAGAGCAATATGGAGAACCAATTTTTTTTTAAGGTGGATATTTTTTTAATAAAGAGTAGCAGTTTAAACATGGAATACCTCAGAAATATAAGTATAATTACATGTATACTAAAATAAGTGTTACAGATATTGTGAATATATTACAGATATTGTGGATACATATATTATGGTTATTATCCTCACTATCAATTAGGGATATGATTAGATTAGTTTCCATAATATAAGAGATTAGTATCTCTATCATTTATTGTATTCACTCTATAAATAAGATTGGTGTGTGTACAACAATACACACAATTCCTGAATCACAACAATAAGTATAAAGTATTACCAGATCTAGTGCTCAATGCAAAAATTTACACAAGGGTCAACAGAAAATATACTATTATGTTGTCACCAAGCTAGAGAAACTATATAATTCCATCCTTCTAAGGCTTGTAATAACCTGAGTAATTCACACAGTTTGTCAGGACTCGTATATTAGCTAGCCCCAGTCCAACTCAAACATGGGCCCAGGGTCTCTGTATTGGAGTATAGTTTTACTCCTAAAATATATATGTACACATTTATTTATGTTAATACAGACCAATATAATTTGGCTCTATATATACCTGTATTGTTCTCCTTTGAATTAGTTAATGAAAACATAATTCTCTTATTATAAACTTTCTCTCGTCTCCTCTGTTTTGCTCTCTCTCTCTCTCTCTACCTTTCTCTCTCACAACTCTATTAGTCTGGAAGACATAAAGCAGGAGGAATAAAAAATAATAGAAATATAGAAGTAGGAGGGTAAAAGAGGAAATTGGAGCAGGCAATTTTGGAGAATTTTGTTAGTAGTGGGTCAGGATCTGTTCTCTGTTCAAAGAGTCAGTATTATTATTATTAGTTTTGTTCCTCCTCTGTATTTGTTCATTCTATCTCCCTTCTAATAAAACTAACAAACAAAGAAAAGAGGTAATGTGACTGCACAGGCATATAAACACACCAACAGATATCATCAAAACTAAACTGGGAATCAAATAAAGTTGCTCAGACCTGTGTCTCGCCTCTCGTGAAAAGAGCACTTCCATGTGCTCTGGGTAATAGACCACATCTAGAGTTGATTGGTCGTATTTCATCAGGTGTTCGACCATCGCTCCTTTTCCCCCCCTGTCACATACAAAGAAAAGAATTCAATAAACATGGATCCACATGTTTGGTAATTCATCATGCAGGCAAGCTTCTAAGGATTGCAGCAGTATTGTCACAATAACATTTACTTGAACTTACAAAAATTATACAATTTTTTTTTTTAAAAAAAAAGTTGCATCCTTTTGACAAGTACATGGCCAAGTTAATAGCTTAAAATACTTTGTGATCAAGAAAAAGTTGGAATTAGTTTACAACTCTATGAATAAGCTCCTTGGTAAACAAGTCTTAAGTCACTTTCAAATCAAGAAATCCGAACAACTTCCTCTGTTTTACCCAAGGATGCCAAGTGCCAACGGCATCCTTATTAATAAAAGGCTTATTATCCTATCACCTTACAGCCACTACAGGTAGCTTTATCTGCAATTTTAGCATCCAAATAAATATGTTGGCACTGAAATAAGCAATGCTGCAGCATTATCTATCTAATAATACAAACTGGAAATGAACAACAAAAAATAGTTATTTGAACATCTCTTGTTCAGAGTCTTGGAATCTGCTTTACGTCTATATTCAAAGGTCCAACATGATACAGGTGTAAACAGTTACTCCATGTAAGACACTGTCAATGATGGTTACCAAGATCAGGACAAAGCAGAAAATGAAACACAAGCAGAGAATGCAAGTAAAACAAACCACACCCATTTGGAGAGTTTACTCCAGGCCTGGGAATAGTGCAATAACTGACACAAGACAATTATTTTAGGAGTATGGAAGTTATTATGACTAAAGGGACCGAGACGCTTAGTACTTCTAGCAATTACACAGACAGAATATTAGATAGTTGTGGGTAATTATTCAAAGAGAGTATGAGAAATTTTTATTTTTATTTTAACATTCGAGGGTAGATTATATAGATTATAAATATAGATATAGATATAGATATTAATTTTCAGAATGTAGAGTGCAATAACTGCCATGAGGCAGTTATTGTTAGGAGTATGGTAATCGCTAGAATTAATAATGTAGAGTGCAAGCACGGCTGAGACAGTTATTTTATGGATTATGGCCGTTTTTTAAGGTAAGCTATACAATATAGAAGTTAGGAAATAGGTAGACAGATTTTCATGCATGTAATATTCATAACATAAGTAGAAAGTAAAAACATTCTGTAGGAGCTTTATGATCTGGATGAGCCCTGGCTCAGTCTTTACTAAATAAAATCGGTGTTATAATTGTGGAATCCTATCAGTCAAGCACTTACACTATGAAGCAAATAACAGTTCTGCAAACCCTAATTGATTGACTGAAGAACTAAAGAAAGATGGAAAGAGGAAGAACTTCAATAGCATGCACCCTTTATTAGCTTCATGTTTTCAGCACAAAAAAATGTTGGCCCAAATTTAAATCAGAGAAATATAACATATTCATATGCAAAAGAAAAGGACAGGTTATCCACATACGCAGTAAGCATTGTCATAAAGTTTCATATATGAAGCAATTGAAATTTATCAATTTTATTTAAAGGCATAAATGAACCAATGCTCATCAACATGCTCAAATGCAAACCTCTAAGTTGAAGTACAAAGGTAAATTTACTTGGTAATGCCTTTTTCTTGTTAGGACCAACTCAAACTAAAAGTTAACAAGTTAGGTGCAAAACTTATAATGGTTTTACTTCAAACATGACACATGTTTAGGCTAGCTGAAAACGGGCAGCAAAGATCATTTCAATCCAATACCATGTCACCAATTGTTTCAGCTGTTTAACATGCAAGCCCATGAATAATTTAATACAAAACGGACTTGTCTTTTCTATAGCAAATTCATGATAGATAGTTGGGCATTACCTATCTCATTGCCCATTGAAATGATTAATGCATTTCGATAGCATGGAATGGAATAATCTTACAAGTTTAAATTTCAACAGTTGAGAACAGTAACTCCTTTAAGACTCTTTTGAAGGAATACATATTCCATTTATGCTTCCACAAAGACTAAGATTTATTTGCCACAGTTATCAAATTATTCTCATTGGCTAAAAACTATATCTAAAACTCTCAATTATACTCTAGTGAAAGAGCTTTTCCTTTATGAAAAAAGCAGAAATTTATAGACTATTTGACTGAAGTCTCCCCAAGACAAAATAAAAAATAAAAAAAATCGCACATATACATACAATTGTTTGATAGTAATCTTAATTATTTTATGACAAGTATTCATACCTCTACTATGCGCTTCCTCAAAAATTTTGATGTAACTTCCTTAAATACCAACTTCACATCTACCTCAGAAAACTGCACAAAGTGAAAAAAACAAAAAATATATATATATGTTGAAAAGTAAAACCAAACGAATTCAGAACAATAGGCATAGGGCAGGGCATCATCTCTACATGAATCAAGGGACAAAGTATAAATATTAACAATTCAAATACATAAAAATAAACTATATAGAACATTATATTGACAAAACAAGGGAAAGAAAACATGAGCAATATCCTTGTTTTGCCCCAGTTCTTGGATCATGGGTGGGTATAAATAAAGACATTATTAGACAGAGAACAGATAAAAGATTACAAGAGATACAGTAAGGTTTCATCCTAAAAAGAGAAATTTAATAAAAACAAAACCAAATAGGAAAAAAATTGTAGCAAAACTGGCTAATATCTCTGCACTGACAATGGTTATTCCCCTAAAAGAATCACAAGCAGAGCACCAACGAGAGGAAAACTATATATTGGCAGCACAAGCCTCAAATTGAGTTTGGCATGCTTCATTGAGAAAATTGCAATATGTGCATTTTGCAATCTATCAGGCAACTCCGAAAATTAAATTTGATAGATTGTTAGTCACGTTTCAATCTAGGATTTCTGAAGCTGGGGAAAGGATATCCTCAAGCATCCAGTCCGGAAAGGCCTTCATTGCAACACAAGCCAAGTTGAGTCATTCTGAAAAATTTTAAGTGTAACGATTCTTCAGTCATTTCATAGGCAAATACAACAAATTCAACTACCTTTTTTAGTTCATGAAGCTTTTTTTTAACATCACAAACTTTCTTTCACAGATTCACCTTCCTAGAGAAAGCTGCTGCAAATCATTCCCCAAGCTTCCAGGTTGGGACTTAATCCCAGATCAAGCAATCTCCAAATGAAAGAGACCTGGTCCAACTAGAGTCAAGATTCTTTGCTAGAATATGTCATAATGTCTGAAGTTTTCACAGAGCATGTGTTAAAAGGTCAGCACTCTGTTACAATACTGTTATTTAGGTAATCTGTAGCAGACTGTTGTATATTTAGACATAACTGCTCCTAAAGCACCATGTACATGCTATAACCATCACAAGGTTAGGATCTCATTTTCTGGAGAGATTCCTCTATCTCTGTAGTTTCTTTCTCATTCTATCACTTTCCCTAACTTCGTTAGAAACACACACTTTAAAGGTCTGTTGATGGTGCTCTCCAATACTCAACCATCAGCAGACCAGAATCAGTTAAAGCATGAATAAGGACATTTTTAAACACAAACAGAATATGGAGAAACCCACAAGGCCCATTTTATCCTGCACATGAAAACCCTAGTGCTGCATTGTCATCAACCTCTTGACACAGCGGCAACTCGAGTACGACAAGCCCCACCCATCTAACGATGCAATACCCGCACTGGCGCCGCAATCACCTTTATAGCAGACTCTGCAACATGACCGTCGCGATTGCATTTCCGATGAAGTCTGCAACGCAATAGCATTATAGCACTGCTATTTGATGACACTGGTTCTAAAAAGACCTGCTGTTGCAGCTCTAACAAGACTATTACCTCTATGCATCACCTTTTTTTACAAACAAAATCATAAATAAAAAAATGAGAAAAATATGATTAAACCTCCAAAGGCAACAAACAAACTACAGAAACAAAAAAAGAGGACAAGAAAAATCAACTCATTTGAGCATCCTAGACTGTTTCTCTGGCCTAGTTTTATAATAGAGAGCACTGAGCCTAAGACATCCATATATGCATCACATTTATAATCCATTTAAAGAAGGGTAAGAAAAATAGAAATAAGCTTAGCTCGTACCAAAAGGGCTGGTTTGCGTGGAGTTGGCTTTATATGAACATCACCTTCATCAACTTCACCATCAACAATTATTTCCTCATCTTCATCCTCTTCCTCAAGAATCTCTGCAATGGTCTCAAAATTACTCCTCAGTGTTGAGTCATTTGAGACAAACCCATTTTCTGTGAGTATCTTCAGAACCTTTTCTTCTAATGATGAAAGGGCTTTCCTTCTGGGTATTTTGTTTCTAATTTGAAGAACTTTTACTAACTCATCACCAGCAATTTCCTGCACATTCCCACTCACTTCAGTTTCTATCCAAACAAACATATTGAAGAAAAATATTTAATGAAGTCTTCAATCATCTTGTCTAACCTAATACTTAATCAAGTAAAATGCATATTCCTCTTATATGGACATGCAACAAACAATGAATATCAACAGATGAGCAAAATGATTTCATAAATATTTCACAAAAAATTCACACAAAATAACAGTATCACAACATGTTAGAGGAAAGATATTTGGGGTATTTCTCTTGCACACACATGGCAGAGCAGGATGGTGAAGACTGAAGTGAAATACAGAGCGCAACTGCATGATCCCAACGACATCATGAAAGTGATAAATCTGGCCAGAGTCCATAGATGTGTAAGAGGCACTGCATGCCTCCAAACTCCTCCAAGAATATTAGCTCTGGTTTCGACAGCAAGTTTTTTGTATAACACAGGTGGAGGAATTGTCTCCTGAATAAGGGCCACTAGAGAAGCTCTAGTGGGCATAACCAGCCTGATTAGAGGACCCCAATTAATTCATAGCATAGTAATCAATCTGGAATAGCAGCGCAGAGCACATGACCACAACAAAGCCATAGCTAGGTCTTGAGACTATCCCACAAAAATGGTTTGAAAACTCAATTCAAGGGAAAATGGGGATTTTAGCCCCTGTTCATCATAGTGGCCACAACAGCCACACTTTTACAATATAGCGGCTATGATTGAGCACAATAGCCACAGCCAATAAACAGTTAAACACAATGCGATTAAGCACTTGTAGCAGCCACCTGCCACAACTTGACAGCACTGTAGCACCTCTACTGCCTGCCATTGATAATTCTGATTGAAGACAGTCATCTTTGGGCCCAGTCAGGAATGGCACTAGCCCAACAAATTTAAAATAATTACTTTCACAGCACAATGGCAACAGAATGCAGAGTTTTAGGAGTATAAAAAGATATGCATATCAGGGTTAGCAAAAGATTTGATTATTATAAGCACTTATCTTCAATGAAGGGTGTGCCTTTTGGTTCCCTCTCACCTAAAGGCATTAAAATCCATCAGCCTCTTAAGGGCACCCAATGCCTTTGATGACCTTGCTACATTCGCAGTTGACATAATTATTATAAGTATAGACAAGATAGGTGTTAGAACTTTGTATTATACACACCAAATCAATATTCTCCTAATAATATTAAGAGCCTCGTTTCTTTCTAATCCTCCTACTGTACCTAAAGTCTGAGAACTATAATTTCAACAGACTCATTCTGTTTGTTGGAACCCCCTAATTTGGCTGAGATATTGCTGTTTGGTCCCGGCATTCTTCCTGTTTGCCTCTATATGATTAACTTGCTATTGTTTGGTGATTTCTTCTCTGCTAGGCTGCTTTCCCAGCCCACATGAAATACTGTGTTATGGTTGCTGTATGGTCCTATTTTGATCTGTTAAGCTGGATTTTCTCGGCCAGGTCCTTGATATAGTCAATAGCATTAACCTGTGAAATACTATTGCCCAAACAAACAATGAACTACTGTAACATACAAACTGTTGAGGAGCTGTCAAGTAATGTAGGAATTGTGAAGGGGAGAATAGCATCTCCCTAGACATTCACAAATCAGGAATAATTCAAAATCTTTAGACTAAAGAAACAGAAGAAAATGATAATGGATAGCAAAGAGCATACTTCAACATGTTTATAAAGTTCAGGAGGAGGCAACGTGATGGCATCCAACATCTTTGGCTTCCCACACTTCTTAACCAGAGCTTCTACCTCGTTGCAGATAGCTCGCACTGCATCCTGACAGTAAACAACAGGCAAAAGATGATTCATTGGTAAGTATGCAAAGAGCTGTTCATAAACTATCAAAGAAAACAGATGGCACATAAAAACAGGAAAACCTATAAAGTAAAGCATGTCAATCCCACTATAACTAAAACAAAACCTTTTTGAGAGGCAAGTGCTTATTCTTGTACCATATGAGCTTTTTTAGTAAAAATTTCAAATGCTCGATGCAATAATAGTCATGGAAAACTGAATTGAAGGTCCTAACGTTATAGATAGATGTACACAGCAAAAAGGTTATTTTGAAATATTTTAACAATATTACATTTGCAAGGAGTTGAGGACGAGGATATTTCCAGAGATCAAAACCTTCTGCGGTGACTCCTATATTAAACACCCATAAATAAATGTGTATTGAATGATGCAGTTCAAATAATATTTTAAATAATACATGCATATGATTTCAGTTTAGGGTAGGAAAGGAAAATCCATTAAATGTGCCAATGATTGGTAAGCTTGTCTACATAGTATTTTAAGGTAACAACCTGACCAACTTCTACAGCTTTAAGTAACTTCTCTTCTGGAAGAAAATTGCTATAGCCCTGCAACAAAAATTTATAGCAGTTGAGCCAGTATGAAAGTACTACCATCGGAATTTCAAGAATCATGATTGACAGATTATAGGTTTGGGAAAGATATGATTTCATAAGCCTTTTTTATACCAATCAATGCAGATTCCAGAAACTTGTCTCTAACAGCTGAAAATGGTGACAATTCTTTGTTTTCAAAATACTGAAAATTATTAGAGAAGAAAGTTTTGGAATTTGTGCTCCCCTGACAAGTGCCAGTTCAATAAAATTTCATAGTAGTTAAGATTACATATACTTGATCTGGATAAGGATTACAAAAAAGCTAATTAAATGTTTCAATTATTTAATCATTATGATGTAGAACTTCATCTTACATTTGTTTTAATGAAAAAACTTGCTTCAAGGCACTATAGCAAGGCATATTCATTCTCAATATTAATCGCTAATATGGAGGCATTCAGCAGAGTGACTAGCCTAACTCCAAAAGGTCACTCAACTGGTCTTCATGGAAGCCTCTTATGTTTGCAATTCACAATTGGTCTTAATTTGTGATAACCTATTTTTATGTTGTTACAGAAATTGTACAGATATTGTTGGATACATATATTATCCTCACTATCAATTAGGGATATGATTAGATTAGTTTCCATAATATAAGAGATTAGTATCTCTATCATTTATTGTATTCACTCTATAAATAAGATTGGTGTGTACAACAAGACACACAATTCCTGAATCACAACATGGTATCTAGAGCTTAGGTCTATTCCTTTAGAATTTTTTTTTTCTCCTTTTCTTCTTGCAGGGGCCTTCACCGGCCGACCACCGCCGCCGGCCGACC